AGTGTTTGGGGGAATGAAAGGGGGAGATTGACTGGGGATTGGGGGACTGAGGGGGTCACTCACTGGGGATTGAGGGATTAAGGGGGAGACTCACTGGGGATCGGTGGTCAAGTGTTTGGGGGAATGAAGGGGGAGACTGACTGGGGATTGGGGGACTGAGGGGGTCAGTCACTGGGGATTGAGGGATTGAGGGGTTGGGGGGATGGGGAATTGAGGGGGAGGCTCATTGGGGATTGAGGAATGAGAGAGACTCCCTGGGGATTGGAGGGTTTAGGAAAGAGACTCACCGGGGATTGGGTCGAATGGGGGAGAAACTGGGGTTTAGTGACTTACTGGGCAACCCAACTCCAGTTTGTAAATCAGTTCTTATGGGGAATTATCATCACTCAACATTGTTTTGTTTAAAGTTGAATTTTTAAAGAAGGTGACTGGGATGACAAGTGGAGAATTACTCTCTGTAACCCACATGTCTACTCCTTTGTGTTGAACAGGTGACTCTAACCAGCTTCGGTGTGTATCTCATTGTGGATCCAAATAATGTTCTCGATGCTGAGAAAGCCTTTACCTCCATCTCACTGTTCAACATTCTGCGCTTTCCTTTGATGATGCTGCCCTTGGTGATCTCATCAATAGTCCAGGTACAACCCTGTGGCAAATAGATTTCAGAGCAGACAAATGTGACCTTATCCACTGTGGGCCTAAAGGAAGGTCAGTACATGGGGCAGTCTACACGGTGAATAATCAGAATCAGTGGATATCTAAAGAGAATTGAGGGTACCAGATACACAGATGATCAAAGTGCCATGATGACGTAGAGAAGGTAATCAAAAAGGCAATGGAATGTTGGCCTTTGAATCTCGAAGATTAGAGGAGGTTGAAGTCAGGCTTCAATGATATAAAGCCCTGGTTAGACCACACCAGGAGTCACTGTGGGGAGTGAAACTGGGAAACATGGTTTTTCACAAAGGGTGGTAGGGACTTGGAACACTCTCCTTACCTGAGAAAGGATGGACTGGCACTGGAGGGAGTGCAGAGGAGCTTCACTAGGTTGATTCTGGAGTTGAGAGGGTTGGCTTATGAGGAGAGATTGAGTAGACTGGGACTGTACTCATTGGAATTTAGAGGAATGAGGGTGTTATTATAGAAACATATAAAATTATGAAGGGAATAGATAACATAGAAGCAGGGAGGTTGTATCCACTAGCGGGTGAAACTAGAGCCAGGAGTCGTAGCCTCAAAATTGGGGGAACCAGATTTACGACTGAGTTGAGGAGGAACTTCTTCACTCAAAGGGTTGTGAATCTGTGGAATTCCTTGCCCAATGAAGCAGGTGAGACTACCTCATTCAATGATTTTAAGGCAAAGATAGATAGACTTTTGAGCAGTAAAGGAATTGAGGATTAAGAGAGCAGGCAGGTAAGTGGAGTTGAGTCCATGAAAAGATCAGTCATGATCTTATTAAATAGCTGAGCAGGTTCGATGGGCCAGATCGCCTACTCCTGTTCCCATTTCTTATGTTCTTATGTTCTTAATGGAATTGATGCTGGAACAATTGTTAGTTTTAAATCTTGGACTGATAGATATTAAAGGTTATGAGGTAAAGGCAGCTTTGTGGAGTTTGGTCATAGGTCAGCCATGATCTCACAGAATGGTGGATCACATGTGAGATGCTGAAGGTCATCCTCCTGTTTCTGTGGTCGCAGAAAGTTCCGGCAATGGTTTTGCTCTCAAGGCAGTTTTCCCTTCCTCTGTTCTGTTCTTGAATTTGCAAACACCTTCATGTATTTGCCCCTCAGAAGACAAACAGTTTCATGCCTCATCCAAAAGGCAACACTTTGGATAGTGTGGCACTGCCTCAACGTCGCACTGGCATGTCAACCTGGATTATATGGGGCTACCTTTGTGAAATGGGGTTTAAACCCATAACTTTCTGGCACAGAGAACCTAAGAAATGGGAACTGGAGTGGACCATTTGGCACAATGGTCCTGCCATTCAATAGCTGATCTTTGACATCAATTCTACTTTGCTGCCTAATCCTTTCATATCCAAAACTCGTTTTTGAACATACTTAAGAACACAGCGGAGAATTCTACTATCAATGAATAAATGCCTCCTTATCTCTGTCCTAAGTGGCTAATCCTTATTCTAAGACTCTACTCCCATTTTCTAGGTTCCCTGGGAGAGAGTTTTACCAACTGAACCAAAACTGATTCCCTTGACATGGTGACCAGGAGGAGTCTACTCTCTTTTGATAACACTTTGAAAGGAGATACTGATATTCCTCAAATACTACGCATGTCCCTTGACTACTCAGTTTATTATTTCTTTCATCTGTAGGCCGGGATTTCTTCTAAAAGGCTGGAAGCATTTCTTGGAAGCGAAAACCTAGACGCGTCAGCAATTCGACAGGATCGCAGCTGTGGTACGTTGGGTGAAGGGAACTGGATAGCAGTTTAATTATTGCTGATAGCTTGAGGCTGCGGTCAGGGTTGAATACCCACTTGCACTGGAAATGTACTGATATACGTGAATAATCAGACGTGGAAATATAGGGAACAATTTATAATTGCAACTGACATGAAACGACAATGTAAGGAGTGATGCTAGGGATGGTAGCAGACTTCAGGAGGCTGCAGATGGTGATGAAATTGGAAGACATTGGGCAGATGAAATTTACAATAGAGAAACTCTGAAGTGAGTTCTTGGAATTGTTCTTGGAATAATGATGGGAGGTGATATGAACAATTTTAAGAAGGTTGCATAGGAAGATGAGTTGAAAAGACTGTTTGAGAAAAGCACACAGGGATCCCACAGAGTATAAAGGCAAAGATGTTAGAGTAAATCTTAGTTTGAGTAGCATGCTCAGTTCTGGGCCCCACACTTTAGGCCTCGGAGAGTTGGGGGAGGAGATTTACAGGCATTGGACAAGGCTTGTGAGACTTCAGCTAATGTGGAGAGACTAGAAAAGGTGGGAACTATTCTTACTGGAGCAGAGTTAGGCAACATTTAATCAAAGCATTCAAAATCCTGCAAGGTTTTAATAGAGTAAAGAAGGTGAAGTTGGTCCCAGTGCTGGGAGGGTCAGTGACCAGAGCGACATAGATTCAAACAGATTGACAAAAGAACTAGACACAACATCAGCAAGTTGTGATCTGGAATGTGCTGCCTGAAAGGGCAGTAGAAGCAGGTTGAAGTAATAAAGTTCAAAGATATTTAAATAAATATTAGCAGAGACTAAATGACAGGGCCGTGGGGAAAGAATGGGGATAGGGGAATTAATTACATGGCTCTACGCAAAGGGCCTAAATGTGATTGGCTGATTGGCATCATTCTGTGCTGCATTGTTCTGTGATTGTGCATATTACGTTCAGTCAGGCAGCACAAATACATTGACATCTATCAGCCCCAAAAGACATAACTCCCCATCTTGTTTCCTCCCCAGATTCTGCAGTCGCCTTCTCAGATGCCACCTTTTCATGGAATAGAAATGAAACTCCAACCATCAAGAAGTGAGTGATGCTTGGAAATGTTGTCTCACTGCTGTTATGATGGAAATGTTAAGGCTGGGTTGGTGAGATTGGGCCTTACTTCTGTGGCTGTTCTGAAGTGCTCCCCTGTGTGCTGACAGCAAAGGTAGCCAACACCAGCTCAGTGTTGGTGCAGTCTGAGCCTGGTGTTGACACAAGCTGAGTGTCAGGAGCAGGAACCCTGATATCTGTCCATCTCCTCTCCATCCCACTGGAAAATTCCATCTTCTCTTCCATAACCAGTGTCTACAACAGCCAGGTAAGAAGGTAGCTGAGGCTTTGGTTTAACATCAGATCTGAGAAATAGTGCCATTGACAGTGCAGTACTCTGTCGATGAGTGTCAACTTTGGGTATTGTGCTGAAATATCCTGAGTGGGAATTGAATCCACATTATTCTGAGTGAGAGGCAAGGTACTGCCATGTGAACCAGAGCTAAAACCAAGACCATAGGTGTGTCCTGTTCTGTTTAACCATCACTTGATCACAGCCTGGTCTTGCCTGCCTATAAATGTCCACTTTGTGTTTTTATTTCCCATAGTGTTACACTGAAGATCAAACCAGGCAACCTGGTAGCAATTGTGGGGCCAGTGGGGAGCGGCAAGACCTCTTTGATATCTGCACTACTTGGAGAAATGGAGAATATCAAGGGATTCATAAACGTAAAGGTACTGAAAAACATCAACTGCAAAATTCCTGTTTCTTCTAATTTCCGTGTTTTATTTTGCATAAGGGTTGGTTCTTATTCCGAATTTTCTCTAAGTTTCTCTCACTCGGTTTTCCAGATTTGCTAAAGGAACACTGGCAATCTCCACTTCCATCTGCCAAAAAAGACTTGCCAGACTTCCCAAAGTTTCCCTCCAAAAAAGTGATACGGTCACTGCAGTTCACTCCTAAGCTTTTGACTTTGTTAAGAATTCTCTCATGGAGTGGGATTGGCTGGGCCAGCACTTATTGCCCGTCCCTAGTTGCCCTGGAGAAGGTGGTGGTGAACTGCCTTCTTGAACCGCCACAGCCCATGTTCTGTATTTAGACCCAGAATGCCCTTAGGGAGAACGTTCCAAGATTTGACCCAGCTCCACTGAAGGAATGGCGATATATTTTCAAGTCAGGATGGTGTGTGGCTTGAGGGGGAGCTTGCAGGTAGTGGTGTTCCCATGTATCTGCTGCCCTTCTAGGTGGAAGCGGTTGTGGGTTTGGATGGTGCTGACGAAGGAGTCACAGTGAGTTGCTGCATTGCACCTTGAGGATGGTGTACACTGCTATATATACACTGCTGAGCATCGGTGGTGGAGGGAGTGAATGTTAAGTTGGTGAATGGGCTGTTTTATCCCGGATGGTATTGAGCTTGATAAGCAGAAGTTATACAGAAGGGGTTTCACTTTAAGATATGTTCATGACTCTAGTGAACATCAAGTTTAACTCATCGTTCCCCTTGTTTCGGGTGGTGATCTCTACATCTTGTGTGTGAACCCCTCCTTTAGCTTCTTCTATCACCCTGCCCTCTGCTGAGGCTTAGAGTTTGAAGGTTACAGTTTCAAGTCTCATAATCACAGAATCAATTTCTTAATGGTGTGAGTTGAGGGATAAATCTTTCGCTGGCTGACCTTCCCTGCTTCTCTTCCAAAAACAGAGGCCATGTAATCTTCTGTGTTCATCTATGAGGGCAGATGAGGGCTCATTTTAACATTTCATTGAAAAGGCAGGGTGTCTGAAAGTGTAGCACTTTCCCAGCAGTGCACTGGGGGTACCAGATTGGCTGGGGCCGGTGGGTCTTGAACCCCCAAACTTCTGACTTTGAGGGAAAAGAGAGCAAGACAATGAACCACAAGCGTTTACAGCAAGTTGTAGATCCTGCTATGTAATGTCAACATGGTTGAAATGGTCCCATGATTAAGGATTCAAAACACAGAGGGGTTAATTTAGGATTCACCAGGGGCGAAAGGAACTCTATCTCCTTGCAAGGTGAGGAAGCCAAATTGCTCTCCCACGTGGAACCAAGTGATGGCACAAGGAGACAGAGACACAAAGCTTCTCCTTCTCACCCCTTGCCATATGTGCTTTTAGGGTTCGTTTGCCTACGTACCTCAGCTAGCATGGATCCAAAATAATACCCTCGAGGACAATGTCTTGTTTGGCTTGGAGCGGGAAGAATCTCGATACCAGAAAGTCCTGGAGGCCTGTGCTCTTCTGCCAGATCTGGAGCGATTACCGGCTGGGGACCAGACAGAGATTGGAGAAAAGGTATGGGAGAAAAAAATTAAATTTTTGAACTGGGCTCAGAACCAAAGCATGTAGTTTTTTAAAAATGTGACATCTATGTTTTATTCTCGCTCCATTTTATTTTTGTTGTTCTTTCTGGCATTGCTGACAAGGCCAGCATTTGTTGTCCATCTGTAATTGCCCGTGAACTGAGTGGCTCCCTAAGCCATTTCATTAAGAGTCAACCACATTGCTATGGGTCTGGAGTCACATGTAGGCCAGACCGAGCAAGGACGGCAGATTTCCTTCCCCAAAGGACATTAGTGAACCAGATGGGTTTGTACAACAATTGATGATGGTTTCACGGTCACCATCACCAGCTGGGAGTGTGGGATTTGAACCCAAATGCTCAGCTAATCAGCCTGGGCCCTTCTGATGCAAGACTGAGAAACTAGAAAGGGTCAGTGGCAGTGCTGTCACCACTCCATCTAGATTCAATTCCAGAGAAGGTTAAGAGTTGACCTGACAGAGACTTTCAAGACAATGAGAGAAATTGGTAAATTGTTTCCGTGAGCAATAGCCAGGCTCAGAGATTCAAAGTCAATGGCAAAAGATTGGGAGAGTTGTCGGGATTTTGCAGGCTCAATCGGAATTAAGGTATAAAATGATTCCATAAACCACTTTAGAAGGGATCAGAAGATGCTGAAGAATTAGGAATTTATAGGGCTACTCACAAAAAGCAGTGTGTAGGACAAAACAAAATTGGTTATTCAAAAAGCTAGCATTTGTATGATGGGTTGAATGTCCTCTTACTGTTGTGAGTGGTGAAGTTTGTGATAGATTTATATGTTAATATGATTTATTTTCATACATGGATTTTAAACTAATGACATGTGGGTTTTGGGCTCTGTGTATGAGGGAATTTAATAATTAACTTGTTAATCTTTCTGGAGCCATATTTTTAAAAATGAGTTTGAGACAGAAAGGGCTTCTAGGGTGATATTAGGAATTTGTTTGCATTGTGAGAGTTTTGTGATTGGACAGAGTAAACATTGAAAAGCACTAAATTGCTTTTAGTATAGAAGAATGATGAATTGAATGTTTGATTAGGGGAAGAATCCATAGATTAGAAAGATTTTGGTTTCATTTCACAGAAGCCCTGGTTGAAGTAAGATATAAGATATAAGAAGATAGGAATTATCATGAAGAAAGGAATTAGTTCAGAACAGTTAGGAAACAGGCTATCTCAGTGTAAGGGTTTTAGTTTGAAAGTTCCAGACCAGAAGTGTTTGATTAGAACCTAGAAGGCGTTAGTTGAAGCTGAGAAAGTTTCATCTCAGTTGTGTGGATATTTAAGGAAAAGCCTCTCAAGAGCAGGAATTGGAAAAAAAAGACAAATGAAAACTATAAATGTGATATAGAGAGGAGAGCTCTCTCTGGTATTTGAACACAGTGAAGTGACGGTGTTGGATAGATTGGATCATATTTTTACCTTGTGTTTCAGAATCTTACAAATTGTGTGATTGGGTTATTCTATTTTATCTTCAAATCTTTTGTATAATAACCTTCTGTTCAATTGTTAATACCAACTGTTAAGCATTGAGTGGTTATGCTTCAGTGAACGGCCAACTCGTTAAATCAAAAAAAAGTCTATCAAGCCAGATTTCAGTCTGGAACCTGACCTGTCCAGTAATAATGTCAGCTGGGATTGTAACAATGTGCTGGAAGATTCTTTGGTTCTGAACAAGAAGGAGTTGGTCATTCCTTGATTTAATGATTCTCTTTCCCAGGGTATCAATCTGAGTGGAGGACAGAAGCAGCGAGTTAGTCTTGCAAGGGCGGTGTATAGTGATGCTGATATTATCGTACTGGATGACCCACTCTCTGCTGTTGATGCACATGTGGGGAAACACATCTTTGAAAAAGTCATTGGTCCAAATGGTCTGCTAAAGGACAAGGTGAGACTGAATTTCTGGGGAATGTTTTAACTTAAGTTGATGAGCATTTCGATGTTGAGTGATTACCAATATTAATGTACATTCCATTCGATCCAGGAACGGGGTTAGATTGAGAGTAAAGCTGCATCTACACTGTCCCAATCAAACAATCTCAGAATAGGGACAGCACGTGTTTAGATAAAGATTAGAGCAGTTTCTACTGTTTTGGAATGAAAGTAAAGCTCGCTCGACGCTTCCCAATCAGACATTACCAGGACAGGCATAGCATGGAGTTAGGTGCAGAGTAAAGCTCTCTCTACTCTTTTAAACTGAAAGTAAAACTACCTCTATTCTTTTTAAAATAAAAGTAAAGCTGCCTCTACATTGTCCCCATCAAACACTCCCAAGACAGGGACAGCACGGAATTAGATACAGTGTATTCCAGACAAGGATTTGTTGGAAACAAAAACAGAAATTGCTGGAAAAGCTCTGCAGTTCTAGCAGCATCTGTGCAGAGAAATCAGAGTTAATGTTTCGGGTTGAGTGACCCTTTCACAGTTCTGATTAACTATGGTTTCTGCCATAGATGCTCACAGACTTGCTGAACTTTTCCAGCAATTTCTATTTCTTTATTATTTACAGTGTCCACAGTTCTTTCGGTTTTTCTCCAGGATTTGTTGAAAACTGATGGTATGTTCTTCTCTTTGACTCAAGTTTCTATGATGGCACTCAACCCCAATTGCTTCTTTGGTTGGGATTTGCCGAATCAGAGCAGAGTAGGCAGTGAAATATGGCTCCGGCTATTCTGATTGGCCCAGAACCATAGAGTGTTAGCTGGAGGCTATTCCTCCCAGTCTGGCTTTGCTGGCTTTTTTTTTTCAACACATTCCATTAACCCTCATAGTGATGCAAAGATTGATCCTATTCCCTTTTAAAAATTACATTGCATTTGCTTGACTGAATGTAGCTTTTCAACTGTTTGTTATTTCACACAGAGAGTAAACTTAGTGGATAGTACTTACACATCAGAGCCACAAGGTGGAAGGCTTGTCTCTCACTCCAAAGACTTGATGACAATTTCTATTCTTATGCTGCTGTTGCAATACTGAGGGAGTGCCGCACTGTCAGAGGGTCAGTGCTGAGGGAGCGCCGCACTGTCAGAGGGTCAGTGCTGAGGGAGTGCCGCACTGTCGGAGGGTCAGTGCTGAGGGAGTGCCGCACTGTCAGAGGGTCAGTACTGAGGGAGTGCCGCACTATCAGAGGGTCAGTACTGAGGGAGTGCTGCGCTATCAGAGGGTCAGTGCTGAGGGACTGCTGCACTGTCAGAGGGTCCTGCGTCAGGCCATCTTTGCCCTGTGTGAACAGAATGATAGAATCCCCACAGTGTGGAAGCAGGCTATTCAGTCTATCGACTCCACACCGACCCTCCAAAGTCCATCCCCACCGGACCCAATCCATCCCTGTAAACCCTGCATTCCCCATGGCTAATCCACCAAGCCTGGACACATCCCTGGACACTCTGGGAAATTTAGCATGGCCAATCTATTTGGCATGGCCTAACCCGTACATCTTTGGCCTATGTGAGGAAACTGGAGCACCCGGATGAAACCCACCCAGACAATGTGCAAACTCCACACAGACAATTGTCTGAGGTGGATCGACCCCAGGTCCCCGTTGTTGTGAGCCAGCAGTGCTAACCACTGAGACACCATGCCACGCCTTGTGCACAGGCCTTGGCAGGTTCCTAGCTTGGGTTTGGGGCTGTTCAGGTGTGTCTGGAGTCCAAGCAGTCTCACATGCGTCTCATGTTGCCGCCTCTCGTGGGGTCCCTGACCAGACATACTCCGAAGGTTTTGCCAGACACCCGATCCCCATGATATCACCAGCCCCCCATTGGAGAGTTCCTGGTTAGTACAGAAGAGTTGGCTGAGGTGAAGTGGGTTTGGTAGGAGCATCAATGCTGCCATGATTTTGCTGGGCCGAGTGGCCTGTTTCTGTACAAAACTCCACATGATCATTTGACTCTCTGACGATCTGTGTTTTTTTTAAACAGACTCGAATTCTTGTGACTCATAGAGTCACGTTTCTGCCTCAAACTGACGAGATTGTGGTTCTAGTGAACGGCGAAGTGACTGAACTGGGCTTGTACAAAACACTGAAGGCGAACAGGGGGGCGTTTGCAGACTTCCTGAATACCTACAGCGAAGGGAGTCGCAGCGAGGAGGGAGAGGCAACAGGTTTGGAGCCTGCAGACAGATTCCCTGCCTTTACAATTCCCACAGGGACGCCAAAATTCCAGGCACTTTGACAGTTTCCGTAAGGACAGCTCTCACCAAAGCTATCGAGAGGTCGGAGTCACAGCATCATTAGTGCAGGGAGTAGGATAACTGGAAGCATGGACAATGTCACTCAGTTCATTAAGCTTGCTCCTCCTGCAGAGAACATTCTCTACCTGCCCCACTCGAGTTTCTCTGCAAGAAATTTAACCCAAGTTGCTTCTTTCTATAGACAGTGGGAACCACTTCAGTGTATAGTTCCTGGGGCTTAAAGGGATTGAAGGGTATGGCGGAAGAAAGAGGTAACAGGGCATTGAGTTGGATGATCTGCCATGATCACGTTGATGGGCAGAGCAGGCTCGAAGGGCCGAATGGCCTGTTCCTGCTCCTATTTTCAATGTTTACATAGCACTGTTAATGTTGACGCTCTGCAGGGTATCATCAATATTGAGCCATGTAAGAAAGTATTAGGACTGGTGATCACAGAGCAAAGAGGTAGATTTTAAGGAGCATTTGGATAGGGAGATGGAGATGTCAGGGGAGGGAGCACCAGTGTTTAGGGCCCAGGCAGTTGAAGGCATGACTGCCAATGATAGAGGGGTTAAAATCGAGGATGCTATATATGGAGAGAATTGGAGGGGCACAGAGGTTGCAGGAGCTTAAGGAGATTCTAAGGATTGGGAAGGAGTGATGACATGGAGGGATTTAAAAATCAGGACAATTGAGGTGTTGCCTGAATGGGGTCTGAAGTAAATTTGACATCGAACACAGGGATGATGGAGGATAGAGACTGAGGCTAACGTATGGGGTGGCAGAGTCAACTGAACTGAAGCTTCTTGAAGGAGTCCAACCCTAATTGCCCCATTTACTGAGGGGCACACCCCCAATGCCCCAGTTACTGAGGGGCACAACCCCCAATACCCCATTTACTGAGGGGCACACCCCCAATGCCCCATTAACTGACGGGCACACCCGCAATGCCCCATTTACTGAGGGGCATGTCCCCAGTTGCCTCATTTACTGGGGACCTCCCTGATCGAACCCTTTACTTTAACTTCCACCTTGTTTCATTTTTGATATTCCGGACTCCAGATTTTGAAAGCTTTTGCAGATAATGCATGAATCACAAAAGGCCAGCATTCAAGCTCATTAGGGAATTGGAGAGGCAAATGAAATATTAGCTTTTATTTCAAAGGGAACGTAGTATAAAAGGCCCAAGGTTTTGCTGAAATTAGATTTGGCATTCGTCAGACCACTAAATAAAAATCAAAAGAACTGCAGATGCTGTAAATCAGGAACAAAAACAAAGTTGCTGGAAAAGCTCAGCAGGTCTGGCAGCATCTGTGAAGGAAAAAACAGAGTTAACATTTCGGGTCTGGTGACCCTTCCTCATAATTGATGGTAGCTGGAACAAGTTGTTTTTTATGTAGAAGATAGGGTGGGGTGAGAAGGTAAGGTGTAAACAGTAGCTGGAGATAGAACCCAAAGAGAGAGAAGAACAGTTGTACAGACAAAGGAGTGGATAACAGTCAGACTGGGAGGGTGAATAGCTGTTAATTGGGACTGTTAGTGTCTAACAATGGGTTGTTTGTATTGGCAGACCACGTGATAACAAGGGGAGTTCAGGTAAGAATGTGGGACAAGATGCCTTAAGCCCTAAAATTGTTGAGCTTGATATTGAGTCTGGAGAGTCCTCAAGTGGAAAATGAGGTGTTACTCTTCCAGCTTGTACTGAGCTTCGCTGGAACACTGCAGCAAGCCAGAGACAGAGATGCTGGCCAGGGAACAGGGTGGTGCGTTAAAGTGGCAGGTAGCAGAAGCCCAGAGAAGCTTCACTCAGCTGATCCAAATAAGGAGGGATTTTCTCCTAAGGAGAGGTTGAGTAGATTGGGCCTGTACTCATTGAAGTTTAGGAGAATGAGAGGAGACCTAATGAAACATTTAAAATTAGTCGGGGCTTGACAGGGTAGACGTGCAGAAGTTGTTTCCCCTTGCGAGAGAGTTTAACAGCAGAGGGTGTGATCTCAGAGTAAGGGGTATTTAAGATGGAAATGAGGAGGAATTTCTTCTTTCACAGTAGAAGGCTGTCGAGACTGGATCATTAAGTACATTCGAAGCTTTTTCATTGTTTTAGCCTTGAATAATGAACCATCTTAAACTCCAAATGCATGGGACTGCTACGTGCCTGCCACACCCTCCATGCTAAATCATTGAATATATGTAGCACCTTTGGTGTACAAAAATGGCTTGGAGGACAGCAGAGAAATCAGACGGTCGTTGGGGTCAATGGGCAAATAGCGTTCACCCTGTATCCGGTCTCTTTCAGTCAACATGGTGACAGAGGAAGATGTCACACCGGATGATGATCAAGAACTCCAGGTGGGGGTGGATGCAGTTGAGGCGATAACACTGAGCCTGAAACGGGAGAACAGTGAACGTGTCAGAAGCAGGAAGTGGAGGTAATCTTCAATAAAACCTGCTCGCGGTGTGAATGAGGGTGTTAATACTTCATTATTTGTAGTTCACAGCCTCAGGGATGCAACTGAACAGGATGAAGTGTATTGCCAAGAATGTGGGAAAACAGTAGGGGAGTGGGACAGATCTTAAAAGAGGTAGAATGGGCTAAATGGCCTCAGATCACTTGGGGATAATTCTCTATCAGATGCTGGCCAGGTTGGAGCACAGGTTAAAATCTGTGGCTGCACAGCTCATCCTCTCTCTGTTTAGCTCACCAAAACCCCTTGACATATCCCCATCACCACCCTGGGCAGGTCAGAAGGTCAGGGGTCATGGTTGCAAGTCCCACTCCAGGGAGTGGTGCCAATTCGGGGTTGGCACTCTCAGCGCAGTGCTGAAGGAGTGCTGCCTTGCTGGAGGTGCCATCCATCCAATGAGACCTGTCTGCCCTGCCAGGTGACATCGGCAGGATTTGCCCTGATGTCCTGGGAGAATATTTATCCCTCACCAACATGACCACATGGTTTGGCCATTAGCACACTGCCCTTGGCAGGATTCAAATCAAATACCGGGTTTCAGACACCAGCTGTGAAGTGCTTTGAGGGCATCCTGAGACTGTGCGACAGAAATTGGGATTTTGATTTTGTTTCTTTTGGCTTGTTTGATTAAATTAAAAGAGTAAGAATCTCACTAACCAACTGAGCAATCAGCAAGAGCTTTAAAGGAAGGAGATCTTCTGTTTAAACTCACTCTTCTCTCTCTGATCCTTCCTTTAGCAAAAGCAGCGTTAGAGTGTCTCTGAACAAGGCCAAGAGGGACAAGAGCCTGGTGTCAGAGAAGGAAGGGCAAGCGGACATGGTGAAGGGCCAGAGACTGATAGAGAAAGAAACTATGGAAACGGGAAAGGTAAGCTCTCACTTGCACATGGGAACTGTTGAAGGTATAAAATCATTTCCTGTGTAGACTGAGGATCAAAGAAAACCGTTCCGACAGGATGGTGTCTTCTTCACAGGGAGGGCAAATTCGTAATTGTTACAGGTTATTACTCAGAGTGAGGGGATTGGGTTGTTCCATGTTCTGCCATGCAGTGAGTTTGTATTCTTGAACAAACCAGTGGAAGGACCATGACAGGATTGCCCATTTATAAATGTTCTGATTTCTGCACTGGAAGCAATCCAAAGGCAACTCCAGAACTACTAAACTCTGGAACAATTAAACTCCAGAACAGCAAAACTCTGGAACATCTCAGCTCCAAATGAGTTCTGGATCAGTTCAGCTCTGGAATTGTGCTGGCTCTAGAACACCAGGGAGACTGTAAAAAGATACAAGGACAAAGGCAGCAAGAGGAGAGTGAAATAGTTATATGTAACATCAGCATAGACACAGTGGGCTGAATGGCCTCCTGTGCTGCACATTCCATGAGGAAGATGCTGAAGCCTAGAGCATTGCACATCAACAAAGAGCTGGTGAAGTAAGTACAGCAAGTAAAAACACTGAGAAACTTTTCTGTAGGTTTGTCATCTGTTTGGATAAGAATTTTTGAGCAGAATGAAGAGTGAGCCTTGCAACTGTAGAGCATGATCCTTCGTTCAGCAAGATGACAGCTAATCCTTGACCTCAACTTCAACTTCCCACCCAATTCTCCTCTCCTTTGATTCCTAAAGTTCAAAGGGTAAAGGGCTACACTGCACACCATGTGACTGGATTACCTGTATTGATTGGTCTGTTTGGGGTTCTGTTTTAATTGGCAGGTGAAGTTGTCAATCTACTGGAAATACCTCAGTGCTATTGGCTCATGGTACTTGTTGCTGATAATCCTGTCATACATTGCCCAGAACATGGCAACCATTGGGCAGAACCTCTGGCTCAGTGACTGGACCAATGATGCCAGCCTCTACATCAACACCACCTACCCAGCATCTGAGCGCGATCAGCGACTTGGCATCTTTGGTGTTTTGGGTGTTGCACAAGGTGAGTGTCTTTCAGTTCAACAAAAATACTGGTCACTGGTCGTCATCTCCTCACTTTTCATCCTTGCTGTCTGCTACTTGAGACACACTCAAGTTTCCTGTCTGAAGCTGTGTTCCTTAGAACCTTAGAACAGGACAGGAGGCCACTCAGCCCACTATGGCTTTGTTGTCACTCTTCGAACGGTTCCTCACCCACCTTCAATCATTTTCTAGCTGCATTGCTTTTGCTCAGTGCCCTGTAAATTTTTCCTTTTGAATTATTTATCCAAGTCATTTTTGAAAGTTACTATTGAATCTGCTTCTATTGCCCTTTCAGGTGGCACATTCTAGATTGTCATGACTCACCAATTTCCCTTCTCTGGTTCCTCTACCAACTCTTTTAAAGCTATCTCCTCTCTTTAGCACCGTCCTGCCTTCCTTATAAATAATTCTTCCTTATGAACTTCATAAAAAAGCTCCCCATTACTTATTTACTTCAAGAGACTGAATGCCTTGATTTTTAACTTCTTAAAAAACAGATTTGGAACTTTCTAACGTTTTATGGTGTTAGCTTTGGCTTGGGGGCAGCACTGTTGCTCTGAGTCAGAAAATTGCACACTCAAACCTCACTCCCGGAACTTGAGCACAAAGTCCAGGCTGGTACTAGTGTAGTACTGCGGGAGAGCGACACTGTTGGTGGTGCAGTGTTTTGGATAAGATGATAAATTGAAGTCTCATTTTCCCATTTGTATAAAGATCCCATGACACTGTTTTGAGGGGGACAGGGGAGTGATTCTCCCCATATCCATGCCAGTAGTTATCCCCGAACTAACATTATTCATAGAGATAATCTGACTGTTATAACATTGTTGTTTGAGCAAATTTACTGTATGCTAATTGGTTACCATGTTTTCCACATGAATCTAAGTATCCCCAACAGATTGGTCAAGCATAATTTTCCTTTTGTAAATCTATGTTGGCTCTGCCCAGTCATACATTGTTTTTCCCTGTGATCAATGCATGTTTTACAGAATTAGGCTAATATTTCATAGAGTCATTGAGGCATACAGCATGGAAACAGGCTGTTCGAGCTAACTCGTCCATGCTGACCAGGTTTCTTAAACTGAACTAGTCCCATTTGCCTACATTTTCTTCAAGAGGATCAAATTGGGGTGTTTGAGATGATTGAATGTGTTTTCTTCTGACAGGAAGCTTAGAATAAGGCAGCATAATCTTCAAAATAGAATCAGACCATTCAGCAAGAATACAAACAGAGATTGCTAGAGAAACTCAGCAGGTCTGTGGAGCAAGAAACAGAATGAACATTTCATTGGAGCTGAAGCCTATTCTGCTAAGTAAATTGGATATGAAATGTTGACTGTTTCTCTTTGTACAGATGCTGCCAGACCTGCTGAGTTTCTCTGACACTATTTGTTTTTATTTAATATTCCCAACATCCGCAGTATTTTGCTTTGTTTTAGTTTTTGAGGTGATGCCAAGATGCATTTGTCTATACACAGTGAAGTACAAATGAGGGACTGTCGCCCCTGCAAAATGCTGGGCTTCAGCTGCAAATTACAACACCAAGATTCATAATGTTTTGTTGGGGAACAATACTAAGGGCTAGAGAACCAAGGGTAGACTGAGGTTAAGAAACAGATCAGTTGTGGTCTACTGATTGGGAGACCAGGTTCGACATGCTGAATCCTGCTCCTATGAAAGTACAGAGACATTGGAGATGATAAATGTGCTTGTTGTTTTCCCACATTCCTCAGCTGTCTTCATGCTCCTTGGTGCATTCCTGATGACAGGAGGAAACATTGCCGCTTCCAGGGACTTGCATTCACGCTTACTGCAAAACATACTCCATGTTCCCATGCTGTTCTTTGACACCACTCCGACTGGGAGGATTGTTAACAGGTTTTCCAAGGTATGACTGCCCTCTGGTAGCTCTCTAGCATTTTCAGCGACCAAGCAGCTGGCTCAGGCATTCCCATGTTTGAGTTATATCAATGGCGCTATTTGAATGTAGCTTTTCTTTAACTCCATGTGAGAGTCTTCATCCACCGACCTGCAAATATTCACTCACTGTCTCCTTCCAGCAGACCACCAGATTGTACATGGTGTAAACATCAATTCATTGTTCCTTTCCTGTCTAGATGAGGATTATTTTAGAAATTGGTTCCAGCATTTATTGCCCAGCCCTAGTTGCCCTTTGAGAAGGTGGTGGTGAGCTACCTTCTTGAACAACTGCAGCCCATGTGCTGTAGGTTAGACCCATAATGCCATTAGGGAGGGAATTCCAGGATTTTGACCCAGCGACACTGAAGGAACAGTGATATATTTCCAAGTCAGGATGGTGAGTGGCCTGGAGGGGAACTTGCAGGTGATGGTGTCCCCAAGTATTTGCTGCCCTAGTCAACGTTCATGTACTCTGCAACTCCGTCCCATAACTTTTCTGTCTCTCAAATCTCTGTCCTCCCTTCAGACACCCATAGAAACATAGAAGATAGGAGCAGGAGGAGGCCATTCGGCCCTTCAAGTCTGCTCTGCCATTCTTCACGATCATGGTTGATTGTCCAACTCAACAGCCTAATCCTGGTTTTTCCCCATAACCTTTGATCCCATTCGCCCCAAATGCTATATCTCGTCTTCTCTTGAATACAGTCAATGTTTTGGCATCAGCTACTTCCTGTGGTAATGAATTCCACAGGCTCACCACTCTTTGGGTGAAGAAATGTCTCCTCATCTCCATCCTAAGTGGTCTACCCCAAATCCTCAGACTGTGACCCCTGGTTCTGGACACACCCACCATCGGAAACATCCTCCCTGCGTCTACCCTGTCCAGTCTAGTTAGAATTTTCTAAGTCTGTATGAGGTCCTTCCTCATTCATCTGAACTCCAGTGAAAACAATCCTAACCTATTCAATCTCTCCTCATACGTGAGATCCACCATCCCCAGAATCAACCTGGTAAACCTTCGCTGCACTCCCTCAAGAGCGAGAGCATCCTTCCTCAGAAAAGGAGACCAAAACTGCACACAATATTCCAGGTGTGGCCTCACCATGCCCCTGTATAACAGCACCAACACATCCCTGCTCCTGTACTCGAAACCTCTCACAATGAAGGCCAATATACCATTTGCCTTCCTTAACACCTGCTGCACCTGCATGCTTACCTTCAGTGACAAGATGCACAAGGACACCCAGGTCCTGCTGCACACTCCGCTCTCCTAATTTACAGCCATTCAGGTAGTAATCTGCCTTCTTGTTTTTACTTCCAAAGTGAACAACCTCACATTTATCCAAATTATACTGCATTTGCCATTCATTTGCCCACTCACCCAACCTGTCCAGATCATGCTGAAGGATCTCTGCATCCTCCTCACAGTTCACCCTCCCACCCAGCTGGGTATCATCTGCAAACTTGGAGATGTTACATTTTGTTCCCTCATCCAAATCATTATGTATCGTGAGTAGCTGGGGTCCCAGCTCTGATCTCTGTGGCACCCTGCTAGTTACTGTCTGCCAATTTGAAAAGGACCCATTAATTCCTACTCCCTGTTTCCTCTCTGCCAACCAGTTTCCTACCCATCTCAATAGACTTCCCCCAATCCCATGTGCTTTAATCTTGCACATTAATCTCTTATGTGGGACTTTGTCAAACGCTTTCTGAAAGTTTGACTCATTAAAACCCACATCTTCAACCTATTTGTGGTCAACTGTTCTAATCCCTCCTTTTGTGGCATGGTGAATGAGCACATTCAGGTAGGGGGGGAATGGGTATAAATACAAAATGTATACATTGGCTATTGAACGTTTGGAATCTGTTTCTACCAGCCGATCAGGTAGGGTGTTCTAGATTATCTTAAACAGCTTGCTTTGATCAGCCCTGAATGTTTCTCATTGAAGTGAATCCAACCCAGAGGAAGGAGGGTTTTGATCTTAATTGTGAGTTTTGCATCTCTCCCTCTGCAGGACATTTACACCATCGATGAAATCATCCCAATGTCGTTTCGGAGTTGGCTGTCGTGTGTCTTTGTTGTGCTCGGCACTCTGGCTGTCATTTGCCTGGCTACACCTTATTTTACCATCGTCATTGTCCCACTGGTTGTCATTTACTATTTCATCCAGGTAATGTTGGCTGGACAGTGTCTCGGTGTATCAGGCGATGGGACCTGCTCAATTAAAAAGGCTGGTGTTTGGGATGATTGAATCTATTTTCTTCTCACAGGAAGCTTAGAACAAGGTGACATAATCTTGAAAATAGAGTTAGACCATTTGGGGAGGATACAAACAGTGCTGGAGAAACTCAGCAGGTCTGTGGAGGAAGAAACAGAGTAAATATTTCTTCGGAGCTGAAGCCTATTCTGAATAAGTATTTGGATGTGAAATGTTTACTGTTTCTCTCTCTAGAGATGTTGAAATGAGGATGAAAAACCAGGAGAAATGGCTTAGAAGTAGGGTCTTTTTTAACTGGAAGGAAAATAACTGAAGATTGAGGGGAATGTGGAGGCAGTGGGGTATCCTGATTGAAGCTTTTAAGTTATGGAAGGAATTTTATACGCTCGATGTAAAGAAACAGTACCTACTTCTTCAAAGCTCAGGATCATCAATTTGAGAAAGTCATTAAGAAATCCAATAGAAAATTCAGGAGAAATGTCTTTATCCAGAGAGTGGTGTAGAACTCATTACCACATGGTGTTGCTGAGGTGAGTGGTAGAGATACTGTTGACTGTAAGTTGCTAAACACATGGGAAAAAAATATAAAACAGGTTGTTCCATTTATTTGAAGTGGGATTGACAGGCTTGTGTGGAGAATAAATTAGTTGGGCTAATGATCTGTTTCTGTACTGAAGCTACCAGAAGTCCTTGTGCAGAACACAATTGCTGTCCATAGGTTCAAACTACACTGCTGTTCCTGTCCTGGGAGCGTTTGACCAGGACAGTGTAGAGTGGCTTTACTTGCAGTTTAAAAGGGTATGGGGAGCTTTACTTTCAGTTTAAGAGTAGAGAGAGTTTTATTTTCAGTTTAAAAGAGTTGAGGAAGCTTTACTTTCAGTTTAAAGGAGTAGAGGGTGATTATATGTGCCTGCCAAGATTCAGTGTTGGGGAAATGGTATTGGGTTGAGAGATTGATGAGGAAGAGGATTATTTGTGCTTTGACACTTCATTCTTGAATTGCTGATGCTGTGTTGTATACCTTGGGTCTGTAATAATTGGGACCTTGAAGCTATATCATGGCATTTCAATCAGTTGCTGCTTGACCTCCTGCCTCAGGTTATTGACTGGAACATGCACTTGTTGCAGATCTTTTACATCACGACATCACGGCAACTTCGGCGTTTGGATTCGGTGACCCGGTCGCCCATCTACTCTCACTTCAGTGAGACGATCTTGGGTTTACCCGTAATCCGAGCGTATGGACACCAGGCTCGCTTCCTGGCGGATAACAAGAAAATCATGAATGAAAACCAGAAATGTGTCTTTCCTTGGATTGTGGCCAACAGGTATCCAACTCTTCCTGAGTGTTTGCTCATTCTTTCCTTGACATTTATGTAAGAAACTAACTGTATTGAGGAGCCTCATGGAATCCAAAAGGAACATGCATTTAGTTACAGGATTTTATGGCAGAGGAGGTGATTTCTGGTGCTGCAGTGGGTAGTGTCATTGCCTCTGAGCCAGAAGTTCTAGGTTTGAGTCCCACTCCAGGGAGGAAGGTGTGTTCATAACGTGGTGAAACAGGTTGGGTGTCAACTTGTCCACATGCTGGACACATGCCAGTAGCTGGTGGTAAGAGTGGGAGAGGGTCCTGGTCAGCTGTGTGAAGGAAAGGATGTTGGAGCTTCCACCATCACTATCCACAGCTCTAGACTACAAAAGGTTGCCGCAGTAATCAGGAGTCACCGAGTGAACTAGAAACTATCAGCACCACTGCACTGAAGGAGGCCATTCAGACCATCATACTCAATTTGGTTCTTCAAATCTCTTCCCTCCCAACGGCCCTGCAAGTTTTTTATTCCGTTTTGCTACTTATCCAGTTGGGTTTTTGTGTACCTGTTTCCACCGCACTTTCAGGAAATGTGTTCCAAATCACGACAACTCACTGTGACAAAACAAAATTCTCCTTCTGTTCTTATGCCCATTATCTTAAAATCTATATCCTCTGCTTAAAACCCCCTCATTATTAAAATCTCACGACAACCTTCTCAGCTTTAAGTGGATGGAATCTGAGGCCAGGTTAACAGTTGGATTTAGTTTGCAAGGCAAGATAAACAAAGAGGGCACATCTTGCTCGACAGTACAGCAATACACAGCCTAGTTGTGTGCATGTCTCTGGAATGTGATTTAAACCCACAATGTTCTGACTCAAGAGGTGAGAGTGACTACCAGGTGAGCTACACTGATGCACAGATAATGCCATAAGACCACAGACACTTTAAGAAGTAGGAACAGGAATAGGCCATTCGGCCCCTCGAGCCTGTTCTGCCATTCAATTGGATTGTGACTGATCCAACATACCTTATGTCCACTTTCCTGCCCTTCCTCCGTAACCCTTGATTCCCTGACTTTTATCAAGAACATATCTCTCTCCAGCCTTAAACATACACAAGGCCTATGGCCCCACAGCTCTCTGTGGCAAGGAGTTCCAAAGACTCACAACACTCAGAGAAGAAATTCCTCCCCATCTCAGTTGTAAATTGGCACACCTTTATTCTGAGACTATACCGTCTGGTCCTAGACTCTCCCATGTGGGAAAACGTCCTTTTAGCATTTACTCTGTTAAGCCCCTTAAGAATCCTATATGTTTCATTAAGATCATCTCTAATTTTTCTAAACTTCAATGAGTAAGTCCCAACCTGTTTAATCTTTGTTCATCGGAATACCCCTCCAGATGAGGTTCACCCTAGTGAACCTTCTCTATACTGCCTCCAATCAAATTATATCTTTCCTGAAATAAGGGAACCAAAACTGCTCTCAGTACTCTAGGTGTGGTCTCACTAGTATCTTGCACAGTTGCAGTAAGATGTCCCTACTCTTATATTCTAATCCCATTGAAATACGGGCCAACATTCCATTAGCCTTCCTGATCACCTGCTGCACATGTGTGCTAGCTTTGAGATGCATGTGGAATAGTTTGTGATGTTTTAGAAAGCCCACTTTCAGGACATTATATATATTAATATTTAGCCTGTATCTGTAAGCAATTTGTTGACTGTAGTTGTAATGTGACCATCACCATGTGTTTCCATGCAGGTGGCTTGCAATCCGTTTGGAATTCCTTGGTAACTTAGTGGTGTTCTTTGCTGCACTCTTTGCTGTTCTAGCTAGAGATAGATTGGATAGTGGTCTGGTTGGCCTGTCTATTTCATACGCACTGAATGTGAGTACATTGCCATGGCGTTTCCTGTTCTAGACACAGACAAGTCCATATGATTCAGCTGTTCCAACATTTCTAAATACCTTGCATTGGATTCAGTCCCCTGGGACTAACAGTTTCCTTTTTGCCTGTGTCTTCCCATGACCCGCTTGCAGTTGTTAGAATTGGGAAATCATAGAATCCCTACAGTGTGGAAACAGGCCATTCGGCCCAACAAGTCCACACCGTCCCTCTGAACAGCATCCCACCCAGATCCATTCCCCTGCATTTCCTATGTCTAACCCACCTCACCTAAACATCCCTGGACACTACGGGCAATTTCCCATGGCCAATTCACCTAACCTGCACGTCTTTGGACTGTGGGAGGAAACCGGAGGAAACCCACACAGACACAGGGAGAATGTGCAAACTCCACACAGACAGTCGCCTGAGGGTGGAATCGAACTTGAGTCCCTGGCACTGTGAGGCAGCAGTGCTAACCACTGAGCCACTGTGCCACCTGATGGGCTTCAATTGAGGAGCCAGAAGTTCAAGGGGCTAGCTGGATTTTCACACCCACCTTACACTACATCTGGTCCAGGGCAACTGGGGTTAGGTGACAGCTGTGGCGTATTTCCGACATCACAGATCTGTTACACTGCAGAAGGAGGCCATTTGGCCCATTGTGCCTAAACTGACTCTATCATCTAGTGCCAATCTCCTGCCTTTTCCCTCCACACCATTACTGTCCAGAAAACCATCCAATGCATCCTGGGAATGAAAATTAAGAATTAAAAGAGCTATTCTAGAATTGTAACCATACTGCTTGAGAAGGAGGCCATTCAGTTCATGAAATCTTTGCCAGTGCTATCTTCCCTATGAGAACTACATAGCCCCACATTTATTTTTATTCTTGCATGGGCGCTGCTAATAGCCCTTGGCCTGAGTAATTTGTGAAGCCATTTCAGAGGATAGTTCAGAGTCAACCACATTGCTGTGGGTCTGGAGTGACATGTAGGCCCAGACCAGGTAGGGAATGACAGATTTCCTTCCCTATAGGGGCACTAGTGAACCAGTTGGGTTTTTACAACACTTGATAATTTCATGGTCACATCACTGAGATTAGCTTTCAATTCCAGGTTTCATTAATTGAATTCAATCTGCTGTGGTGAAATCTTCACACGTACAGCTGAACATTAGAATGTTTCTCTGGGTTACTGTGATGCTTTATGCTGCTGTGTTCCTCATTATATACTTCCCAACTCCCTCTTTCAAATGTAATTTCTTCACGTGTCTTTGTGATTCCATCTCCAATTTCCTGGTTACCCAATTTCCTGAGGTGCCTGTGTTAGTGAAGTCCATATTCCAAGGGGTCCCCATGCGTGAGAATATTTCTTCTGTATTTCCAGAATGGATGAGGGAATGAGGGAGTTTGTGTGGCTTCTTGTTCTAGTGGCAGTAAATCTTGAGATTATTTCTACGACATCTCCTCCAAACTGTGGACTCCACATGTTTGGCATGAGCCTCCCAAATGGTGGGGGTGGGGGGGCATCTCAGACACAGTGTGGGGGAATCAGAGACACAGGAGCCTGTCCTGTCACTGTGTGGGGAATCACAGACACAGGAGCCTGTCCTATCCTGTCAGTGTATGGGGGAATCAGAGACACAGGAGCCTGTCCTGTCCTGTCAGTGTGTGGGGAATCAGAGACACAGGAGCCTGTCTTGTCCTGTCAGTGTGTGGGGGAATCAGAGACAGAGGAGCCTGTCTTGTCCTGTCAGTGTGTGGGGGAATCAGAGACACAGGAGCCTGTCCTGTCCTGTCAGTGTGTGGGGGAATCAGAGACACAGGAGCCTGTCCTGTCAGTGTGTGGGGAATCAGAGACACAGGAGCCTATCCCATCACCCTGTGGGGGAATCACCGACCTGTGTCCCGTCACCATAATGGGGAATCAGAGACACAGACCCACCATTGAATGGAATGAGGAAGCACAGGAGTATTTGAGATAGTGGCACTAAGAGAGTAGCTGGTGACTGTGGTCAGTCTCCACAGTTCAGCTGCTCTCTGTTCTTTGCTCTTTCAGAACCAGATTTTCTTTCCCTTCACTTTCAGGTGACCCAGGCATTGAATTGGCTGGTCAGGCAGACATCGGAGCTGGAGACCAACATTGTGGCTGTGGAGAGGGTCTTGGAATATACCAAGCTGGACAATGAGGTACCATGGATATGGTGATGGTGCGGGGGTTGGGGGGTGAATCCCGTGAAACAGGGGGGCCGCAGTGGGATTGGCACCCTCCCCCGTTTAGAGATGAGAGGACTGGAAAGGCTTCACTACAGCCACCGTACAGCGCACAGAGGGGGCTCTTGTGGTGCAGTGGTAGTGTCCCTGCCTCTGACCAGGAAGCCCAGGCTCAAGTCCCGCCTGCTCCAGAGGTGCAACAAAACATGTCTGAACAGGGTGATTAACAATACATACGGCACACAGCCATGTAATTGTGACAGCTTCATCTGCTTTTGTTTTACATCATGTTGATTGAGGGGTAACTATTAGCCCCAGGACACTGCGTGTGCCCTTTATCAAAATGCATGTTCTTCATTAGGCTTTAACCACACTGACTGCACCAAGCCCTACCCGTTGCTCTATGAAGATTGCAAGCGTTGGGGTACACAGTACATTTAGAAGCAAATGGCCACTTTTGGGTGGGGTTGTGGGGACAACATCCACTACATTTCTGACCTATTCTCCAGCAATTGAAATTTTCAAAAAGCTGAATAAAGTAGTCTGTCATTAACAATGTAAAGTAAAAATAAAAATGTTTCCTCTCAGGCTCCGTGGACCACCGACCATCAGCCAGAAAAGGGCTGGCCGGACAAGGGTGAGATTAAATTCCTGGATTACAAGGTTCGTTACAGACCTGAGCTGGATTTGGTGCTACATGGGATCACCTGTGAAATCCAGCCAAACGAAAAGGTACAATGGAAATAATGAGAACCTTTTACAGCTTTGGAGGAGGCCATTTGGCCCACAGTACCTGTGCCAGCTCTTTGAAAGATTGATCCATTTGATCCCACTCACCCTAACTAACTGTTTCCCCTTCAAGTATTTATCCCATTCCCTTTTGAAAATCCCCATTGAATCTGCGTCCATCGCCCTATTTGGCAGCAAATTCCAGATCACAGCAAGTTTGTTGAAACCTCTTCATTTCATCCTCCAGTTCTCTGGTGAACTATCTTCGATCTGTGAGCCTCCTGTAAAACATTCACCTTCCGTTAGGAACAGTCTCTTTTCACTTACTTGATCAAAATGCTTCATAATTTTGAACTTTTTGGTTAAATTTCATTTTAACCTTCTCCGCTCTGAGGAAAACAATCCCAGCTTACCCAGATCCTTGGTACCTTCTGTTAAATATCCTCTGCATCTCTCCTTTCTAATACCCCAGCTGAGGTTTAATCAGTCTTTTGCAAAGGTCTGCTGTTACCTTCCTGTTGTATTCTGTGCCTCTATTAATAAAGTCAGGAATTCATTTTTGAATTAAAAACAACCTTTACAACTTGTCCTGCTGTTTTCAAAAACATATGATTTTCAAAATGTTTGGGGCTTTTTCTCAAAAAACATTTTTTCTGTTTGCATATTGTTTGGGGCGGGTTTGCTGCACCATCAGGAAGGGTGTGAGCTAATCTGTGGTCAGTAGTTGGTCAGAAGGTGCTCCAGTCAACCACAGAATCTGTGAGTCAAGATAGAGAGAGGAGATATAATTGAACAAGTGGTTTGATATTCCCAATTACTGCCTAGTTAGCATTTCGAACAGTCAGATAGCTCATACAGGAGAATGGCCACAGAGAACATGGCTGACATCTATAGGAGCAAACATGACCATTAATTGGTACGCTCATGAGATAGATTTGAGTAAAAAAAATTGGAAAGGCTTTCATTAATAATTCAACTTCTGTAATCATTTAGAATGTGCGTGAAATGCTCAAGTCATTTTACACACAATAACTGAATTCCCCTTTCCCCCTGCCTACCCTATTCAAGTATTTAACGTCTCCCCTCCAAACAGCCTGGAAGCTATCTCCCTTGTTGATTCTCTCTCCTGTGCAGCCTCTTTGAGAAGTGGCTTTGAGAAGTTGTGAACCTGTGGAATTCTCTCCCACAGGAAGCTGTTGGGGCCAGTTCATTAGATTTATTCAAGAGGGAGCTGAACATGGCACTTGCGGCTAAAGGGATCAAGGGATATGGGGAGAGGGTGGGAATGGGATACTGAGATTGCATGATCAGCCATGATCACATTGAATGGTGGGGCAGGCTCAAAGGGCTGAATGGCCTACTCCAGCACCAATTTTCTATGTTTTATACGAACACTCAGCTAGTCCATCAGACTGAGCCATCTCACGCTGTAGAATATCCATGGTAACACTTACTGTCTAGGATTTTAACCCAAGAGGCCATTCTTAATGAAGTGGGCTCAGGTACCAAGGCTTGGACCTGTACTACTAGCTCCAGGTTTGGGAGGAAGGGAGGAGATTACAGAGAGAGAGGGAAAAGGGATAAAGGGCAGTCCAGTCTTATAACCACACTGCTCAGTAGGAATTATTTCAACTTCTAAAACATTTGTTCATGTGATGTGAGCATCACATCTAGGCCAGTTTTTATTGCCCATCCTAGTTGCCCAGAGGGTAGTTAAGAGTGGAACACTGTGCTGTGGGTCTCGAGTCACATGTAGGCCACAGTGAGTAAGGGCACCAGATTTCCTTCTCTAAAAGGACAGAAGTGAACCCAATGGATTTTTGCAACAATCAACAATGGTTACATGGTCACCAATAGACTAGTTTTTTATTCCAGATTCTCAGTGTTTTATTGTTCTTATTCCAGCTTTTAGATTGATTCCAATCTCTCAATTAAAGTCATTTCACTTAAAGCTGCGTCTCTATTTCCTGACAATCAAAACTTTAAGTGAGATCTAGCCTTACTGAGCAGCATGGAAACAGCCTAATGCAAAGCCTGTGGGACTCAGAGCCGTGCTGCTACCCTTCCAGCACTGCAGCTTCTTACAAATGTTTGCTTACCTCAAGCATTTTGACACTTGTTTAAAAGTTTAACTGAGTAGGACAGTGCCCGCACTCTTCCTCAGACAGCAGTGTGTCCGACATCTCTCTCTCTGTCGCTCTGACACAGGTTGGCATTGTTGGAAGGACAGGCGCTGGGAAATCCTCGCTGGCCAATTGTCTGGTTCGCATCCTTGAGTCAGCCGGGGGCAAGATCCTCATCGACGGAGTGGACATCTCCACCATTGGGCTACACGACTTGCGGCAGAAACTCACAATCATCCCACAGGTAAAGCGGAAAGAGCCTGCATTTTTGTGGCACCTCAGGATGTCTGAAAGCGTTTCGAAATGTAGCTACAGCTGTAATGTAAAGAAACACAACCCCCTGGTTTGCACACTGTAAGATCCCACACACAGAAATATGGCTATGAAGGATCAAAGCTACTGAAAACATGTGTACCCGCCACAGGGAGTAAGTAACCATCAGGGACGCTCCTCATGTACACAGATGAGTTTCTGAACAAGCATTTTGCTCACTTTTGACTTACACTTTCTTCTTAGTGACACTGTTCGGGAGATGGGTATTGAGCAGGATTCCTCGTCCTGGGGAAGGGTCACCGGACCCGAAACGTTAACTCTGTTTTCTCCTTCACAGATGTTGCCAGACCTGCTGAGCTTTTCCAGCAACTTTGTTTTGGTCCCATGGAGAACTCCCCTGCCCTAGTAGAACAGTGAAATTTTACTAGTTTTAACATTTTTTAAATTACTTTCTTCTTTCCTTGATCCAAATTAAATCACAGACACCTGGATATCCCATGCTGTAACCTTAAAATTAGAACAGCTTATTCAGGAATGAAGGCAAAATTCTGTGGATGCTGGAGATTTGAACCGAGAACAGAAAGTGCTGGGGAAACTCAGCAGCATCTGTGGGGAGAGAAACAGAGTTAACGTTGAGTCCTGTTTGATTCTTTTTCGGGACTTTAGGAAAGAGATCAGCAAGTGATTTTTCAAACATAGTTGTGAAAACGCAGAATAATTTCCTCCCAAATGGAAACCATTGACTGGGGACAAGGATGGGAGAGTTCGGTCAACAAGTTGAAGATTAGGATTGATAGATGCTTATTGGGTGAGGGTGTCAAAAGGGGGTGGTACCATGGCAGGGGGTGGGCTCTGGATCAAACTGAAGGTTCAAGGGGCTGAATAATCTCCTCCTGTTTCTATGAAAAGCAAGGTGGATACCAGGGGTTTCTCATTCCTACAACACATGAGCTCCTATGCTTCAGACCTGGTCCTACACTGATGTGTAGCATGATTACTGGTCAGTGATGTGGCCTGGAGGTTGTGGTGTGCAGTTGGCTGGAAGGTATTGCTGGAAAGAGAGACATGTTACTGAGCCGCACTTGCTGACCAATTCTGAATGTGCTAATAGCTACAGTAAGATCATAGGATCCCTACAGTGTGGAAGCAGGCCATTCGGCCCATTGAATCCACACTGACCCTCCAAGGAGCATCCCACCCAGACCCATCCCATCCTTGTAAACCCACATTTACCACGGCTAATCCACCTAACCTGCATATTTCTGGACTGTTGGAGGAAACTGGAGCACCCAGAGGAAACCCATGCAGACATGGAGTGGCACGGTGGCTCAGTGGTTAGCACTGCTGCCTCACAGCACCAGGGACCCGGGTTCGATTCCACCCTCGGGTGACTGTCTGTGTGGATTTTGCACATTCTCCCCGTGTCTGCGTGGGTTTCCTCTGGGTGCTCCAGTTTCCTCCCACAGTCCAAAGATGTGCAGGTTAGGTGGATTGGCCATGCTAAATTGCCCATAGTGTTCAGGGATGTGTTGATTAGGTGGGTTACGAGGGGATGGGTCTGGGTGGGATGCTCTGAGGTTTGGTGTGGACTTATTGGGCCGAAGGGCCTGTTTCCATACTGTGGGGATTCTATGACACAGGGAGAATGTGCAAACTCTACACAGACGGTTGCCTGAGGATGGAATCGAACCTGAGTCCCTGGCGCTGTGATGCAGCAGTGGTAACCACTGAGCTGCCATGCTGCCCAATGTAGGATAATCAATCCGGCTTGTAACATGGCTCATTGACACCTGTAGCCAGTGACAAATGTTCATACACAGGGATCTATTCTTTTTTATTCATTTGTGGGATGTGGGCAGCTCTGCCTAGACCAGCATTTATTGCCCATCCCTAATTACCTAGAAGGCAGTTGAGTGTCAACCACACTGCTGTGGGTCCGAAGCCACGTGTAGACCAGACCAGGTATGAATGACAGTTTCCTTCTCTCAAGAACCCTAGTGAACCAGATAGGTTTTTACAACAAGCAGCAATGGATTCATGGTCACCAGACTCTTAATTCCAGATTTATTTTTTTTTAAATTGAATTCAAATTCCAACAACTGGAATTGAACCCAGGTCCCCAGAACAGGGAGGTCTCTGGATTAATAGTCCAGTGATAATCACTAGGCCATTCCTTCCACTTCTGTGCAAACTGAACACTCCAGTCTTGTGCCTCTTCTGAATTGCCTGGGAGCTTGGTACTTTCTCCATGGCAATGCGTCGGTCAGTCAGAGTCAACCTTGACAACCAGTTAGCACTGTTCTAAGCTCCAATAGGTTCAAGGTTACTCTGCCCAACATTTCCTGATAAGACAGTGCACCCATCCCAGATATTAGTTTGGTAAAGCTTCTCTAGACTACTTACAACATAGTTAAATAAAGAGACCAATACTATGCACAGACTCCAGATATGGTCTCACCAGTGCCCTACATAACTGAAGCATAACCTCCTTATCTTTGTGTTCACTTCCTCTCACAATAAATACCATTTAATTCACTTTCTAATGACTTGCTATACCTGCATTCTAACCTTTGGCGATTCATACAGTAAAACACCCAGATCCCTCTGCACCTCACAGCTCCACACCTGCTCACCATGCAGATAATATTCTTTCTGACAAAATGGACAATTTCACATTTTCCCACATTCTAATCCATTTGCCAGATCTTAGCCCACTCACTCATCCTATAGTATCTCTTTGTTGCTGGAGAAACTCAACAGGTCTGGCACCATCTAAAGAGAGAGAAACAGGATTAAGGTTTCGCGTCTGGTATGACTTCCTCAGAACTGGTTGTAGCCTCCTTACATCATTTTCACGACCTTTTGTAAATTACTTAACATCTGGCCACTGCTTACTGACCTTTTGCGACTGGAAACAGTTTCTCAATACCTACTTTGTGAAAAGCAGGGTGCGATTTTGAACACCCCATTATTATAAATCTCCTTTGTTCTAAGGAGAACAACCCCAGTCTCTCAATATATCCAAAGTCCCTCATCGCTAGAACCATTTAACACAATCTCTTCGGCTTCTTCCGAAAGCCTCAAAACCCTTCCTGACGCGTGTTTACGTTTGAAAAGGATCGATTTTTGGAAAATCTTCTTGCAAGGTGTAAATATGAAGTGTTCACTGACAAATTCTCTGAATTGTTTTGCTGTCAGGATCCAGTGCTGTTCTCTGGCACAATCCACATGAACCTGGATCCCTTCAGCAGATACACAGACGAGGAATTGTGGCAGTCCCTGGAGCTGGCTCATCTGAAACAATACGTGGCCAGTTTACCCGGCAAGTTGCAGCACAAGGTCTCTGAGGGAGGCAAGAACCTCAGGTACATTATTGATCGGCCTGTCACTGGCTCAGGACCGAGGATTTCGGCAGCTATTGGTTGTTGCGTGGAAGGGATCTTGTTGTAGAACCAGAATCTAGAGTTCACAGTTTAATGTGGAACTTCTGACAGTGAACCAGAGATGGGGGAACAGTGAATAACTCTGACCCACTCTCTCTCTCTCTCTCTCTGCCTCTTTCTGGGAGAGATAGGGAGAGACGTGTGAGAGAGGGCGAGAGAAAGAATTGAGAGGAAAAGAGAGAGAGAGAGACAGGCAGATAGCCAGCCAGGGAGAGAAAGACATGCAGAAAGAGATGGAGAGATTCAGAGAGGGAGGGAGAGACAGAGGAAGAGAAAGAGTGTGCCGGTAAGTGGAACTCTGCGTGTTTGATCTTTCATCATACAGCTACCTACAGGCTACATGGGGAGATGGTGGAGTAGGTGCTGTCACTATCACTGAGCTCCTAATGCAGAAACCTAGGGATGTGTGTTCAAATCTCACCATGGTAGCTGATGAAATTTGAATTAAGTGTGGAATTTGGGAGAAAAAGAAAACTAGTTTTGGTGCTTCGTGAACAAGACAACTACCAATTATTGTAGAAACCCATCTGATGCCCAGGGAAACCCGCCATCCATACCTGGTTTGAACTACATGTGACTCTAGACCCACAGGAAGTGATTGGCTATTTCAGAGGGCAGTTAAAAGTTAGTGAGTTCAATGGCCATTAGGGATGGGTAAACAATGTCCATATCCCATAGAAGAATTAAAAAATGAACATGCTCGGTCCAATGATCTATTTTTACAAGTAGCTATGAACCTCCTTCTGGTCTTGCAGTCTGTTGTTGATCTGAATCTGCCTCCTGCCCACAGTGTCGGCCAGCGACAGCTCCTGTGTCTCGCCAGAGCCCTCCTGAGGAAATCCAAGATCCTCATTCTGGATGAGGCTACAGCAGCCATCGATCTCGAAACGGACAATCTGATCCAGACCACCATCCAAAATGAGTTTACAGACTGCACTGTGCTGATCATTGCACATCGCCTACATACCATCATGGACTGCACCAGGTAAACAACGGGCATTTCTTCAGTACCTCTCAGAATCTTGCCACATCTCAAAGCAATGATGCACCTCTTTAGAATGTAATCACTTGCAAATGTGATGCAAATTGGGAGGCGATGGCCTAGTGGTATTATCGCTGAACTGTTAATCCACAGAATCAGATAATGTTCTGGGGAGCCGGGTTCGAATCCTGCCACGGCAGACGGTGGAATTTGAATTCAATAAATATCTGGAACTATGAGTTCAATGATGACCGTGAATCCATTGTTGATTGTTGGAAAAACCCATCTGATTCACTAATGTCCTTTAAGGAAGGAAACTGCTATCCTTACCTGGTCTGGTCTACATGTGACTCCAGACCCACAGCAATGTGATTGACTTGTAACTGCCCTCTGGGCAATTAGGGATGTGCAATGAATGCTACCTGGCCAGTGACGCCCTCATCCCGTGAATGAATAAAGGAAATGTAAGAAACATGGCAGCCAAGTTACCACACACCAAGAGTAACCTGATAACCAGCAGATTATCTGCTTAATGATGTTATTAGTGGAATAGGCAAAACAATTATTCTTCCATTTAGTTGCAGAGGCAAATTCTGTTGTGTCTTTGAAACTCTCATACACTGCCCCCACCCCCAGACAGTGGAGAAATTCAGGGTTAGGGCCTTCCAGCATCCTTGGATCTGTAGGAGACGTTAAGTAGTGGCCCTTAGCGGTAGAGATTTGTAAGACATCAAAAATTGGACTTGGCTTTGATGCTTAGTTTAGTGTCAGTCACTGTCCATCTCACCTTGGTTGAGTAGATACTGCAGGTGAATAGTGGCGTAGTGGAGTCTCAGGTAGACAGGATAGTGAAGGCGGCGTTTGTTATGTTTGCCTTTATGCATCAGCGCATCGAGTATAGGAGTTGGAAGGTCATGTTGCACTGTACAGGACATTGTTTAGGCCACTAGTGGAATACTGTGTGCAGTTCTGGTCTCCCTGCTATAGGAAAGATGTTGGGAAACTTGAACGGGTTCAGAAAAGATTTACAAGGATGTTGCCAGGGTTGGAGGGTTTGAGCTATAGGGAGAGGCTGAACATACTGGGGCTATTTTCCCTGGATGTGGGAGACTGAGGGGTGATGTTATAGAGGTTTATAAAATCATGAGGGGCATGGATAGGGATGAATAGACAAGGTCTTTTCCCTGGGGTGGTGGAGTCTAAACCAAAGGGGCAACTTTTTCACAGGGAGGGGGGTACGTGTATGCCACCAGAGGAGGTGGCAGCTTCATTCCATGCACACACCATGCGTGAAAAAGTTTCCCCTTAGGTCCCTTTCAAACCTCTATAAGGTCACCCGTCAGCCTCTGACGCTCCAGGTTAAAGGAGGATTCGTGACAATAAACCACTGAAGAGAGAGTGGTTGACAGCGTGTTTTCAACTTATACTCATCAGGCCAAACACAGGAATGTCAATCACAACCACCTGTACTGCAGAAAGGGGGTTTGCCAATTGGTCTGCAAGCTGACGCTGATTGGCAATGCTTCAGCCAATGAGAAAACAATGGGGAACTATCAGCTTCTGAATAAGTTGTAAAAGGAACAAAGTTGTGAAACATATTCTGAAGTGGATTCATAACCAGACTGGAAACATTAATTCAGTTTTTCTTTCCATAGATGCTGCCAGACCTGCTGAGTTTCCCCAGCATTGTGCTAATTTCAGATTTCCAGCATTTGCAGTGTTTTGCTTTTATTGCTTGCTCCTCTTCTTCTTGTAATGTAAATTGTTGCAATAGTTTGAAACGTGACATTCTTGCCATCATGCTGATGAACACAAGATGTCACTCTTCCCAGTAATAGTCAAGATCTGTGCTAGCGAATGGCAATAATGTCTCTTGACCTCGTTTCATGGCAGGGTGATGGTTTTGGATGCTGGAAGAATCATTGAATTTGACAGTCCCTTTGAGCTCCTCCAAAAACAAGGACACTTCTATAATATGGCAAAGGATGCTGGGCTAACAGCAACAGGAGTCACGGCCCTTTGACTATCTCATGGACGTGACAACGGGGAGGAGTGGCGGTGAAAACTGACCAGGAAGAGTCCTGCTACAGTGTTAGTTCACGAGTGTCGATGCTGTGGAATTCAGTGCTCTGAGGCACCCAGGACTTGACAACAAACTCCCAAAAACTTCCTTTATTTTCAAAAATGAACACAACTTTGATTAAAGTGTTGGTGAATCGTGACACGTGGCAAGCTCAGTCTGGCTAGAATTCTACCTGCACCATTTACCACGTACAGAGTTAAAGCTGGTTGGGTTGGGTACCACGCCTGGTAGCTTGAACTCTTGAGCAGGCCGACTGAAATTCCAAGTGCAAGTCCAGTGAGAGATTCACATCACTGCACCCTTGTTCTCTCTGAACCACACTGGCTTCCTTTTCACAAGTGCTAGAATTCCCTTCCCAAGCCTTTCCAACTCTCTCTCCTTCAAACCAACCAAGTTTTTAATCACTTGTTCTAGTATCTACTTACATAGCTCAGTGTTAAACTTAAATTGCTTGTGACAAGCACTGTACTGTATAACACCAAGTTGTTGTTGGTACTTAATAAAGGGAACTGCTTTGTAATGTCACAAACAAAAAAATCTCACCTTTATTTTAGAACAAAAATATTTTCTAACCAACCTACTCATCAATGTTTTTACATACCTCTGGAACAGGATAACTTGAAACCCAACCTCCTGGGTCAGAAGTAGGGATAATACCAATGCTACAGTGCTAACCACCAAGCCACTGCAGGCTCACAGCACCAGGGACTGGGTTCAATGGCACCTTCAGGCAACTTTCTATGTGGAGTTTGCACGTTCTCCCTGTGTCTGTGCGGGTTTCATTCGGGTGCTCCCATTTCCTCCCACAGTCCAAAGATGTGCAGTTAAGGTGGATTGGCCATGCTAAATTGCCCTGTAGTGTCCAGGAATGTGCAGGCTAGGTGCATTAACCGTGGGAAAGGCTGGTTTTCAGAGATGGGGTGGGATGCCCTGTGAAGGGTGAGTATGGACCCTATGGGCCAAACAGCCTGATTGTGGGGATTTTATACCACTGTACCACAACAGCCCTTTCTCATCTCTTTTATTGGGGGGAAAAAAATATACGTTTCTGAGACAAACATACAAGTTAGATGCAGGAATGGGCCATTTGGCCACTTCTGTCTTCTGCATCGGTAAGTCAGAAGCATGATGGAATAATATCCCCCTTCCCCCACCAACTTCCCCATATGAGTGGAGCTTCAAACACACAAGAAGCTTGACACCATCCAGGATAAAGAGAACTGCTTGGTTGGCACCACATCCACTCCCTCCACCACCGACACTCAGTAGCAGCAGTGTGTATTATCTACATGATGCACTGGTGAATTTCTGCAAAGATCCTCAGCACCTTCCGAACCCACAACCACTTCCATCTAGAAAGACAAGGGCAGTAGATACATGGGAACTCCACCCCCTGCAAGCTCCATCTGAGCCACTCACCATCCTGACTTGGAAATATATTGCAGTTCTTTCATAATCACTGGGTCAAAATCCAGGAATTCTCTCTGAAATGGCATTGAGGATCTCCCTATAACATGTGGACTGCAGCGGTTCAAGAAGGCAGCTTGCCACCGCCTTCTAAAGGGGCAACTAGGTTTGGCCCATATCTGCTGGAAGATTCCCACCTGCAGTACTCTGATAACCTCTGCCTTAAAAATAAAACATGATCCCATCTTCACAGCTCTCTGGGCAAGAGAGTTCCAAAGACTCTCAACCTTGAGGGGAAAAGAAACCAAATCTCCTCAGTTCCACATTAAATTTGAGATCCCCCCTTCTTCTAATCACTGCCACATGGGCAATCACCCTCTCACCACTCACCTTGCTGAGTCCATCAGAATCTTGCATGTCTCAATAAGATCAGCTCTCATTCTTATAAACTCCAGAGGATTCCTCCAAACCTTTCCTCATAAAATAGCCCCCTTATCTTACTTCAAACCTTTGTTTTACTCTGAACTGTTTACAATCATCAGGGGCAGCTGCAGTGTGCCTAGTCTTGCAACATTTGGGGGATAACACTGAGGTTGTTGGTACTTTCAAGGTGACAGGACCACATTCCCATGTGACAGATGAATAAATAATATCCGTACTACTCAATGTTTCTGTATCAGTCAGTGTGTGTGTCTGTTGAGGCAGGAATGGAATTTGGGTTTTAATGCAGAGTGATGCTGCTTTAAGCCATTACATGGGGAGGCGATGGCCTAGTGGTATCATCACTGGACTGTTAATCCAGAGACCCAGATAGCGTTCTGGGGGCCTAGATTCAAATCCCACCATGGCAGATGGTGGAATTTGAATTCAATAAAATATCATCTCGAATTAAGAATCTAATGATGACCGTGAAACTATTGTTGGGGAAAGCAGCCATCTGGCTCACTAGCGTCCTTCAGGGAAGGAAACTACCATCCTTACCTGATCTGCAATGTGGTTGACTCCTAACTGCTCTCTGGGCAATAAATGCTGCCTGGCCAGCGACACCCTCATCCCATGAATGAATAAAGGGGAAAAAAAGTCATCTCTTCCTTTTACGCCTCAGCATCGTTGGGTTGTGTGTGGGAGGTGGGTGTGTGCCGTTACTGCTCTGTAATATTGCAAAACCAATTCCTTCATCAAGAACACTGCTGAGAAACTGAGAAGTGAGCTCTAGAGGTTTGTTTCAGAAAATCATTGAGTGTTGGGGTCAGGGCACCGAATGGGGTTTGGAAACCGACAGGGGTCAGGCATTGATAGTGGTCTGGGTTCACACACTGCCAGGGGGCAGTGTCTGGCCACCCTGTGCCTAGTAAAACTCAACATAATCACAACCTTTATAGAGTCATACAGCATGGAAACAGAGCCTTCGGTTGAAGGCACTCAGTAGCAGCATTGTGTATTATCTACATGATGCACTCCATGCTGACCAAAATACCAAACTAAACTAGTCGCACCTGCCTATGTTTGGCCCATATCCTTCCAAATATTTCTTATTCACATGCTTATCCAAATGTCTTTTAAACATTGTAACTGTACCTACATCCACCACTTCCTCTGGAAGTTCATTCGAATTCAGGAAACAAAGGGTGAAAATGATGAGTAAAAACATTGTTCAGTGGAGCCCCATGAAAATGCAGAGTTTAGGGTCCAAAAATATGAAAGAACATGCTAATAAGGAACCTATTTAAACCTTAGTTCAGCCTGGAGAAAATGAAGGTACATCTCTTTGAGTGTCATAAGACATCTAGTCAAAGTGACTTCACAACATGTTAACAACATTATAATGGGCTTTAACCACAAAATCTACTTCAATTTACTTCAATTTCCTAAATCCTTCTCTCACACAATATTGGACAAAGAATATCTTTTTAATTCAAGTATGGGTAGATACCTTCCTGTAGTGATGAGACTGTGCAGGACAGATTGCACCTATTGACGGGAGAGGGCTGTTCTAACTGGTGAATGGGCAATATTAATCTGTAATCTTCCTGCCAATTGGAAACACTGCAGTCTGCAGATGCCCAAGATTTACTGTATCACAAACACGACTGCTTCAGAAGGTAAGCCAGGGTGGTTCACTAGGTCTGTTGCGGCTGACGCGGTTACCGTCACCGAATTGTGCTGGGGGCCTTCTACATCCACAATAGGAGGTCAAGGGACATCAAGAGCTGGCCGCCTTTGGGGATATTGTATGTGGCCAAGAGCCAAGAAAACCCAGCCAAAAACTCCACAGTTACTGCCTGTGGTGCAACAGGCAAGGAGTGGGATAACTGGGGGATGGAGAGTGGGTCACAAATGGATGTTGCTGTTGCGAGGCTGAGCTGCCTCTCGAGGTTCGTTAGAATATCCAGTAAACACCATGCTGAATATGTTAAGGATTGCATCAGCTTTGGGACTGGACAGAAGGCAAAGGTTCAGACACGCACCCACAGAAACAAAGATAGAACATAGAACATTACAGCGCAGTACAGGCCCTTCGGCCCTCGATGTTGCGCCGACCTATGAAACCAATCTGAAGCCCATCTAACCTACACTATTCCATTATCATCCATATATTTATCCAGTTGGCCCTATCAGACTGCTCCTCCATTCAATATGATCACAGCTGATCATCCAATTCGATAGCCTGTTCCCACTTTCCCCCCCAAACCCAAACAAGGTGTATTCTCAACACAGAGACATATCCTCCCCATTTCAGGCTTAAGGCAGGATGTTCCCCCTCAGATTATCTTGTCTGTTGCTGTTTTGAAAAAAAGTTTATTCATCCCCTCATACCTATTCTGCCATTCAAATCAATCAGATTATGGCGCTTCACCTCCTACTTTTCTGCACTGTGATGCCTTTTGCCGGTCACAACCCATTACTCAGATATTTGGTTTGCAAAAGCCCCTGCACCACTTCTCCCTCACCCAAACCCATCAGGCACCCCATTTAGTTTTATTCCATCCACATCATGAACCAGACATACCACCTACAGTCTTCTCATCCCTGTCAGAATAACAGAATTTATTTAAATGAACAAATTTACTGCCAAGGCTTCTCAAAAGTCAACTTTCAGAAATAATATTCCAGTTGGCTGCGTTACAAACTTCTGCTCACTGTGTGTCATGTAAAATACCCGTTGCGCGGTCTTCAGGACATGCTTGACTGAAAACGCCGCATTGTCACATTTCAGAACAGCTGGAGATGTGCGGTTCAACTGCGGCCTACCTCGAAAGGCTGTTCCCATCGGAAGTAATCACCTGAGGTCACATGTGAAGGCTCTCACCGACTGGACACAACTCTCACAGCAGTTTTTATAAATGCTGCCTTTGTCCTGAATAAAACGTAGGTTGCTATGGTTTTAGGCAAATGCATGATGGTAAATCATGCCTTGGAAATGGCATGGAGCCGGTGGTGGCAGGGAGAAGAGACAGGATCAGCAGGTATAAAATACTGTTTGTTCTTAAAAAGAATTGTTCTGGAATTGCATATCTATATATTTCTATATATATAAAATCATATATTTTATATTTTTTCACTGGTATTTGGTCAATTGAGGTCATTTTTGTATAACGCCAAATGTCAGAGTAGGTTTGACCTGGATTAGTTCCAGCAATTATGCCATTTGGTCAGCTTAAACCAAAACTCTTTGAGAAACATCTTTGGAGGAATAAGACACCAAAGCCATCGAAAGGCTTCTTCCTCTGTCTTGAGTTTGGAGCGAGAGACATTCATTGCTCTTGCGCTCAATTGTCTTTAAATACAAGAGGGATGTACTTGTAGTCTTTTCCAGGTTTTTCCCGCTCCCCATTTTGTCCGTTTTCTTCACGTGTATTCTGTTTTTCTGATGTAAGTGGCGGGGACATATCCCCGTTTTCCATTAGCTTCTGCCAGCCACCATTCCCGGTTTCCATTCATATCCTGGAACCGGAGGATTCGTACTCGCTGGTTGTTGACAATGGAGAGTTCGTTAGCACATCGAGCTCGGAAATCATAGATTGCATAGTAAACCTACGGAAAGGGAGAGAGAGAAAACAAAGAAATGATAATCAGATCTGTGAACAATTTTAGGCTTTTCTGCCATCCTGCTGTACAGAAAGGAAAAGCCTCATTCAGCCCCAACACTAACAATGCTGGTTACTGTGTTTCAACCAGTATCATTAAACTTGGCTCATCAGAGTCAACACTTGCGGGACCTTGCATATGAAGTCCATCCTGAACTTACAGAGCATTACTGAGGGAGTGCTACATTGTCAAAGACAGAGTTGCATTTCGACAGCAACTTTTAAGAGCTTAGGACATGGGTCTCAAGGACTGGGCCAGCATTTATTGCCCGTCCCTAGTTGCCCCTTGAGAAGGTAGGGGTGAGCTGCCTTCTTGAACTGCAGTCTGTGTGCTGTAGCTAGACCCACAATGCCATTAGGGAGGGAATTCCAGGATTTTGACCCAGTGACAATGAAGGAACAGAGATATATTTCCAAGTCAGGATGGTGAGTGGCTTGGAGAGGAACATACAAATGGTGGTGTTCCCTTGTATCTGCTGCCATTGTCCTTCTAGGTGGGCAGCACGGTGGCTCAGTGGTTAGCACTGCTGCCTCACACCACCAGGGACCTGAGTTCAATTCCACCCTCGGGTGACTGTCTCTGTGGAGTTTGCACGTTCTCCCCACGTCTGTGTGGGTTTCCTCTGGCTTCCTCCCACAGTCCAAAGACGTGCAGGCTAGTTGGATTGGCCATGCTAAATTGCCTACAGTGTTAAGGGAAGTGGAGATTAGGTGCATTAGGCATGGGAAAATGTAGGGTTACAGGGATAGGTCTGGGTGAGATTCTCTTCGGACCGTCGGTGTGGACTCATTGGGCCCAACGGCCCGTTTCCACACACAGAGGGGATTCTATTCTAAGCGTTTGTGGGTTTGGAAGGTGCTCTTTGAGGAGCCTTCGCGAGCTCTTGCTGTGCATCTTGTCGATGCACACGGCTGCTACCGAGCGACAGTGCAAACTGGGATGGACAGGGCGAGGTGCCGGAGGCCCGGACGGTCTTACCTGCTGCCCGGGATCATAGTCGTTGGTTTCCAGATACCCCTCCTGTGACGAGGTCCTGCGCAGCTCTCGCCTACGTTCCCGGGATTTCCGCGGCAGGGAGTATTCCATCTGGTTGAACCGTTTCGGCTGCACAGTCAGGTAGGAATCCTTGGCGCGTGGCTGGTGAGGTGCGGGTGACTGATGGGAACTGGCTACTGGTGATGGGTCGTAGGTGTTGGATCGATGCACCCGAGGGGCCGGGCGCGTTGGCGATGATAGTGACGAGGACGACAACAAGGAGGGGGTGTCGGCCGGGTTTGGCCAGGGAGGGGACACGGCCACATGTGGCGGCGAAGGTTCCGGTGCATTCCGCCGCTGTGACACCGCCTTCGGGGGAGGGGCGTCCACAGTCTCCGTTGCAACATGCGGCGTGGAGGAAAACAAGGCCATGCTACTCGAGGGGTTCACTACCGCGGCCGAGGTGCTGTTCTGCCGTGAGATGACCGGAGATGACCCACCATAACCAGATTCATTGGAGGAGTGACTCCCTACCGAGATGTCAGAATGACTCCGTCGAGGATTGTATGGCTTCAGAAAGGAACTGTACACAAAACCCTTCATCACTGCGGGAAGGGAGGGCACACAGCATTAACACACAACTGATTTTATAACCGGATAACCCCAAACAGGTTCACGTCTCTCACCCAGCTTCAACACCCGCCCCACCCCACCACCCCCCAACACCGACTCCCCGCTTTCCTTCCCATCCCCTCCCCAGTCTCCAACTGATTCCCCACTAAAGCTCTACCTGGTCCCAGTGGGCACTCAATGGCTCATGGCACATCCCAGTTCATAGACAGGAATACAAACTCGAAGCTGATATTCTGGAATATCTGACATTCTCAGAGCGTCGCACTGCCCAGAGAAGCGGGTCCGAGTGCAGCGTTCCCTCAGCGTCAACGGAGTGCTGCACTGTTGGAGGGTCAGCGACGAGGGGTGCTAAATCAAAGCTTAATCTTTTCTTTCAGGTGGATATGGAAGTGCAACAGGAATCTGAAGCTGAGCAGGAGAGCTCTCCCCAAAGATACTTCCCCATCTTCCAAAGGAGATGATCTGGTCACTACTCCATCATTGCTCACGAAGCTGCATTTTCCACACAAGAAGGTATTAGGTTGGGTAGGTTCTAAGGAATGTCTTAAAAGGACAGGGATAAGGAAATGGAGAAGTAGGGCCGGAATTTCAAAGTGTGGGATACAGACAACTGACAGCATGCTGCTGATAGTGAAGTGATGGAATTGGGAGATGGAGTAGAAACCAGGAAACCGTCTTGGGAGTGTTCGGAAAGCTCTGGCTCACACTTATATTCTGGAGACCCTCAAATCAAACTACTTCTGCAGCATCTCAGTGCCAGGATTGGTGCTTTCGGAGTGTGGTGGGATGGGAATTGAGAGAAAGAGCACTCAAGAGAGCGAGGGACAGTGAGCTGCCCTTACCTCCATTGTCCACCAGCCAGCGATTTTGACTGCCCATGGGATCTTGCTGCTTAATCACCCCGACCAGGTCTCCTTCCAGTAGGGAAACATCCAGTTGCTGAGCAGCGTTGAAGTTTCGGTCCGTCTGATAGAGCTTATCTGGTTCGTACTTTGCCAGTAAGGCTGCCCGTTGTTCGTCTGTCTGAAACATGGTGATTGGCTGACGTGGAAAGGGAAAGACATGGGCCAAGCAGTTAGATGCAGGAACCAGAAATGGGTGTGTAAAAACGGCATCTCTGGGCAAGGACGGGGCCTTGAGACCTGTGGAACCCGTTCCACCACATGATTTGATCTGTATCGTAACTCAATTTACCCTTCACATTCCTAATGAACAAAAAAAGTCCAAACAAAATAAAAACAAAGTGCTGGAGAAACTTAGCAGGTCTGGTAGCCTCTGTGCAGACAGAAACAGAGTTAATGTTTCGGGCAAAAGCAGGAACAGGGTACGGAGGAGGACAACGTGGAAAGGTTCGCATTGGAGAAGGATGATCCACTTGTTTTCTTTTCAGAATGAGTAGGCTTGAGGGGCTGACTCGTCTAACTTCTGCTCAATTCCTAAGCCAGACGGACAGATTGATTGAATAGGCTGGGACTTAGTCCCCCTCTGGAACGTAGCAGGGAGAGAGGTGACATTCTAGAGATTTACAAAATCATGACGGGTACAGATAAAGTGAATGACAGGTGTCCTTTCCCTAGGGCAGGGGAGTTCATGACTAGGAGGCAGATTTTTAAGGTGAGAGGAGAGAGATTTAAGGAAGACACGAGGGTCAGTTTTCTCTGTTAATACACAGAGAGTGGTTCGTGTGTGGAATGAACTGCCAGAGGAAGTGGTAGGTGCAGGTACAGTTACAACATTTAAAAGACATTTAGATTGTACATGAATAAAAAATGTTTGGAGGGATACAGGCCTAGTGGGACTAGTTTAGTTTGGGATTATGGCCAAAATGGACTGGTTGGACTGAAGGGTCTGTTTCCATCCCGTATGACGCAATGAAAATACCTACAATAGGAAGCAAGTAATATTAAACCTGGATAAACTCAGATTCAGCCTCAACTAGATTATTGTGCTGAGGAGCTTCGATTGTGTGGATAAATTGAGAAGCTAGGGTTGTTCTCCTTAGAGAGTCAAAGCAGAGGGGCATGGCTTTCAGCTGGTGGACAAAAGAAGCAATGGTGAGCAAGTGGTTAGGATTGGGAATGCCAGAGTGTGGTGGAGCCAGGTTCAATCCAGCTTCTCCAAAGAGAATTATGTTACCTCTGGAAAAAGGAAGAATGTGCAGAGTTACACTGAGTGGCACTGGGTGCATTGCATGTTTCAATAGGCCAGCACAGACAGAACAGGCTGAATGGCCTCAATGTGCAATCACAATGCAATGCCTCCAATTCTATTGGACGGAGCCCACTGAATCACTTGCTGCAACACACCGACCGGTCCAAAACACACAATAACGTGAAAGGAAACTGCAAACTCACCATGGTCGATGCTTGCAGTCTCGATGATTGCCGGTCTGTAGCCTTCCGATCTAATGGTTTTCTGGAGGAAGGGAGTGTGTCAGGGAAGAAACTGAAGACTTGGAGTAATTGTATGGCTTTGACGTGTTGCTCCTGGAACGAGGCCACGATACTGGTGTCCTTACTCACCACCGTGAGGAACTGGGCCAGAGGAAGCCTCCATCAGTCAGTCATTACTCAACACATCCAAACACAGTTCAAACAATTCCCACATTACAAGCAAACACAACTCAGCTCGGCTATGCAGCATCACATCATCCATTTATCACATTGACGTCACGATGTACAGGACAGAGGAAAGCCTCCTCTACAATGGCCCCATCAATGCTCCCAGCACAGATACAGCATGGGGTTAGATACAGAGTAAAGCTCCCTCTACTCTTTTAAAGTTAAAGTAGAGACTCCTCTACCTGTCCCATTAAACACTCCCAGGATAGAACATTGAACATAGAACAGTACAGCACAGCACAGCACAGACCCTTCAGCCCACGATGTTGTGCCGACCTATTCACCTACCCAGAGCAACACCTACCCAGAGCAACACCTACCCAGAGCAACACCTACCCAGAGCAACACCTACCCAGAGCAACACCTACCCAGAGCAACACCTACCCAGAGCAACACCTACCCAGATCGGTAGAGAATGGAGCTAAATACATTTAAAAAAAAAGAGTAGAGAGAGCTTTAAAGTTCCCTCTACACTGTCCCATCAAATACTTCCAGGATAGGTACAGCACAGGGTCAGATGCGGAGTAAACTCTGTAGGGTGTGCAGAGGACTTGATAGCCAGGTGAGTGGCCATTATAATGCTGGGAGACCAAAGAAGCTGCGGTTGTTTGCCACTGAGTGAAGGAGGTTAAATATTTATTCATTAAACTAAATAAATAGACACTGCTTCCAGCAGAATCACAAATACATGAGGCAGTTTTAAACATGTTTAACAGATAAGCCAGAGACATCAGAGGAAATAGTTAATGTGCATAAGGCGTTATGATCTGGGATGCACTATTGAACTGGCAACGAAAGCAGATTCAATACCTCCTTTCAAAAGGTCATCATCAAATTGGTTACATACTTGTGGAGGAATCATCTACAGGTTATGGCAGAAAGATCGGGAAGTGGGGTTAATCGGATAGCACAATCACACAGCTGGCAGATTGGGGCTGAGTGGCCTCTTCCATAATTCTGAATTGGATTTAAATGGCGATGCTGTCCCAGCACACTGTCGCTTAGACGTTTGTCATTTTCACAGCAATGGAGTCACATGCACATTTTACCAATGTCTGTATGTACAAACTGCTGACAAGTTCAGGACAATATTAAACTCCCTTCCTGATATGAAACCACAGTACATGCCAAGGCTTTTCAAGCCAGTTAAAAGATGACAATTTGACATTTTCAGTATTAACAAAAAAAGCTAAAGAGCTGTACTTGTTGTTAATATTGCTTTGTAATAGTCAAACTTCCATCTGTTGTATCACTTATCTTTATATGTCATAGAAGGACATACCTTTAAGTTCATCAATCTCACCATCTAAGTTGTTAATAGATAATTATCATCAGGGCCTGACATGGCTCATGAGGGACACTACTAGACTCACCCTGCCAGTTAAGGCACCTGCTCATCACCACACCCCTGCTCTTTGTCTCCAGTTGTTCAATAAGTTTATCAACAATGTGTCTTTAGTTCCATGAGCTTCACCCTTAGCTCTTAGTCTGACGAGGGATTTTATCCAATGCCTTCTTGAAATTCATGTAAATAACATTCACAGACATTCCCGTTCTCACTACTTTAGCCATTACTCAAAAAAAAAGATTAAATTAGAATCATTGACTCTCAGCCAACCTTTGCTGGCTCACTCTCTCATTGGCTACTCAATCCTTAGTCATGGACCTTGTTCATTTCAAAGGATTTCCTTATAATTCAATTTTAATCCTTCCCCTTGTTCTTGCACTGATCTGTCTTCAGTCCCCTGCCATGTTCCAAAAGACAAGAAAGTAGGGCTGAGGCCACAATCAGATCAGTCATGATCCCATCAAATGGCACAGCAGGCTCGAGGGGCCAAATGGCCTACTGTAGCTCCTAATTCTAGAGATTCTATCACAAATATCAACATCAGACAAAAGAACAGGACCTCATCTTTCAAGGAGGTATTTTACATCTTTTCTGGTCTCAACACCAAGTTCATGTTTTAGGTTTAATCTTGTTTCTACTTTCTGATGGTAGATGTTCCAAAGAAGACACCAGAGAGCAGTAATTCCGAGTTGTCCCCAGCAGATTATCTCCTTGTCTTTTATAATCGTTCTGCTCTTTTAAATCTGAATTGTAAGTCTGCCAGGATCACTAATAATGTTCTCTTAAATCTACTTACAGGTCTGGAGAACTTTTGACCTCCATAAACAACCACTTCCCGCTTTTAATCGGACTGATGAGTGGACCTCTTGTATATTAAAGTTGATCTTTATCGTCTGTATCTTCTCTGTAGCTGTAACACTACATTCTGCATTTTGTTCTATTACCATGATGTACTTATGTAAAGTATGACTTGTCTGAATAGCGCGCAGAACAATATTTTTCACTATATCTCAGTACGTGACAGTAATAAATCAATTTAAATCAAAAACCATGCTGCCATTCGCTGCTCCTCTCAACCTATTTTTTGGTTCTTTACTTGTCCATCACTTCTACCTTTTCACCGTACACCATCACCAATTCATTGCTCCTTTTCTCCACCTAATCAGACTTTCCCCACTTGCTCTTTTTCCTTAGTTTCCTATTTGACCTACTTAAAACTGATCCCTTTTCTCCCTTGCTCCAGTCCTATTGTAAGATCACTGGCGTGAAACATTAATTCGGTTTCTCTCTCCATGATATTGCCAGACCTGGTGGTCTTAATTTCATATTTTCATCACGTACAGGATTTTCACTAGGTGGTTGTCTATCATATCTTGATGTCCATCTCTCTCTCACCTTTCTCAAATAGCAGAATGACATCCACCAATTTTCCGATCAACAGGAACGGTTCCCTCTTTGTGAAAGTGTGGGAAAATTAAAGTTCTCGCACATTTCCCTTAAAATCCTCAGATGGAAACAACCTGTTCTTGGGGGATTTGTTACTTTTTACTGCCATCATGTTCTTCCTTACAGTTAGCTTCCTTACATTACTGTTACTGTAACCCCATTCTGGTTCAGTATCTTCGTCTGTTGTAAACTAAGAATCTCAACACAATCACCATTTACAGTCGTAGAGCTGTACAGCATGGAAACAGGTCCAACTTGTCCATGCTGACCAGATATCCTAAATTAATCTAGTCCCAGTTGCCAGCATTTGGCCCATATCCCTCCAAACCCTTCCTATTCATATACCCATCCAGATGCCTCTTAAATGTTGTAATTGTACCAGCCTCCACCACTTCCTCTGACAGCTCATTCCATACACGCACCACCCTCTGTGTGGAAAAAGTTACTCCTCAGGTCCCTTTTAAATCTTTTCCTTCTCACCTTAAAAACCAATGCCCTCTAGTTCTGGACTCCCCTACTCTGGGGAAAAGACCTTGGCTATTCACCCTACCCATGCCCCTCATGTTTTTATAAACTTCCATAAAGGCCACCCCTCAGCCTCCGACGCACCAGGGCTATTATTTTCATTGACAAAATCACTAAGATTAGTTTTCAACAGGGACCACATTACACCTCGTTGCGCTATTTCTGATAACATTAACCTAAAAGATATCGCCAATCTGATTAACTAATTCTCTCTTCCCTCCAACCCTTCCACAAATGCTGAGGATGCCTGACATTTTGTTTTATTTCCAATACAATTTGGCCTCTTGTTGTGCCTGGAACATAGCACTGCAACAAACCACCTTGGACACACCTGAGAAACTTGCTACACTAAAAGCAGAAAGTGCCAGAGAAATTCAGCAGTTCTGGCGGTGTCTGTAAAGAGAGAAACACAGAGTTAATGTTTTCAGACCACACAGTCTCTTTTTCGGAGATGTGTGAAATATAAACCCCTCCTGACGTGGGCTTGTCTGCTTGTTCCACTCTATACAGAAGTTCAAAGCCCCCATTAAATCCTCCTCAGCCTTTGTTACCCACTTGCCTAACCTCTGCATTTGTACAATCCACCACAAAACACAGAGGAGATTAGCCAACATTCCCACACAACAACACCCACAGCAACTGCATTCTCAATAGCGAGCAGATTTCGTCACTGGGTGAAATAGCAGGAGCCCCCGCTGTTTTTACCTGTGACAATGGCTGAAGCTCATTCAGCGTCAGGCCCACAAACTCCTGGTGGGCCTCGGCAAACCCTCGCATGCAGTTGACGAAGAGTTGCTCGGCACTCTTGTGAAACTTTGGCAGTTCGTCGAGGAGCTGGGCGTTGAGAGCCTCATAGTTGTTCTTGGCTGCCTGTAGCTCATCCAGCACCTTCTTGTCCTTGAGCTTCTCGGCTCGCTCCTTGCAATTATTGTAATCCAGCAACTTGTCGAAGCGTTTGATGATCAGCTTGTGGGGCCCTGCACACATCCCCAGGAGCTGGTTCAAGGGGGCGATGACGAGGGTCTCAGTCCGCTCTTTCTGTTGGGGAAACAATCAAGGGGATAAAGTCCTCAGGTTTGGTTGCAAATCATCCAGCCCTCCCTTTCTGCAGCCCACAGAGATTTCCAAGCTGCTCCCTTCCTGGTCTCTTGCCCCAGTATCAGTTACTGCAGCACATCAGCTGTCTGAGCCCTGAACTCTGCAACTCCCTCCCCCTCTCTCTCTCCTCAAAATCTCACATTTTTGTTTAACTGCCGTAACACCTCCTTCAGGTGTTAGTACGGCATTGATCGTCTGTCCAGTTACACTGCAGTGAACACCTTGGGAGTTTTAGGATCATACAGGTGCTGTATAAATGCCATCAGCTGCAGTAGGAACTGGGGGTGGGGGCAAGGGTGCATTGAATTAGGTTACAGCTCACTCAAGGGGTGTTCGGTGAACCGTGCAGATCCGGAAGGTCGCAGGTCTCGGAGTGCAGTGACCTTGGGTGGGGGTGAGGGGGAGTAGAGGAGGATCAATCACTCTGGGCTCGGAAGAGGAAGGGTCCTCACCGATTTCACTCAGGTGAGAGTGACTGAAGAGAGCTTGGTCAGGTTGGAGCAGAGACAGATTCAGCTGTGAGCAGCACCTCAGGATGGACTGATGTGGGCAGGAACAAGACAACAGCGGCTATGGAACTGAAGTGCAGCTCCAGTCCGGTATCTTAGGAGGACGGGGAGAGAAGAAAGAGACCGCAGCTGCAAACACTCCTGGCCCAACAGCTCTCTGAATATGGACATCACTGCTGCAGAATCAGCATCTGGTCACCTGGGAGGGGGCAATTATTGGGACAAAGATGCTGCAATTCACCCCTTATGCAACTGAGAATCGCACAGCACATCAGCAGGCCATTCTGTCCACTGTTTCTGTGCTAGCTCTTTAAAAGAGCAGTCTGGTTAATCCCACTCTGATGCTTTCTCCCCATTCCCCTGTAACTTATCCTTTTTGACCTTTACTCACTGGCCCTGCTAGCGACTACCCCAACTCATTAATGAATTTTTTATTTAAAAAAATTATCTAATTCCCTTTGGAAAGTTACTGAATCTTCTTCACTGCCCTTTCAGTCAGCGTATTCCAGATCGCAACTCACTGTGCGAAATTAATAATAGTTCATCCTCTGTCTGGTTCTTCTGCCAATTTTCAGAAATTGGTGACCTCTGGTTAGCAGTGTGCCTGTTGATGGAAACAGCTTCTCCCTGTTTACACAACAGACAATAAAGGCTGACTCACGATCACTTACTGAACTGTTACAAACACTCGGGACCCAGACTTACAAAGTTGGTGAAGAGGTTATCACTGATGAATCGATGCGCTCGCTGGAAGCTCTCCAGGTCTGGGTGATTCTTCTCCCCATATATGTCCAGGGTACTCATAGCTACCAGGACCTTCACTGACACTGACTCCTTTCGCAGGAAAAAAAAACCTGTCAGTCAGTCTCCGACCCAGATTTACTGAGTGTAAGCGCACAGTGACCCAATGTGCCCCACAGCCCTGGTCAGGGGTTTTGTGGGGGGGGGGGGTGGTAATAGGATCTAAGCCTGTCTCAGTCTCCCCAGCCCACAGCTCCACAAGGAGCAGATCACATTGGATTCAATCAATCCCAAGACTCCAGTTGCCTCACCCCCAACTGCACCTTCTCCAACCATTAGCCCCGGCAATGGATGTCTCACGTTATGCTGTTTGATTGTGGAGACAGCATCCCAAACACTTCCTGGTCAATCCCTGTGGATCCCACAATCACCCACCTCTCCGTTAATCCCAATCCATCTCCCAAACATCTTCCCGATCAATCCCAATCCTTCCCTCAAACTTCTCCCCAATTGTTATCTGTCCCCCAAACTCCTCCCAATCAATCCCTGTCCATTTCCCAGACTCCGCCCAAACCCTCATCTGCCTCCCAAGCATTTCCCCATCAGTCCGCTAAACACCTCTCCATTGATCTTTATCCCCCCACACCCAAACCTCTCCTCAGGCAATTACCACCCACCCACCCACCCAGAGGCACTTCCTGGGAGAGTATTAGTGGTAGATTCTCCCCTTGCCCTTCTTTAGCTCTAGACACAGAGGTGAAGGGTGCCCTGACTCAACTGTGTGGATACAGCCCCGTGCCAGTGAGAAAGTGTGACACTCACTCACCCGCACGTGTTGTAAATAGAGGGAGAGATCGCGGATGAAGGATTTAATGAGCCGCTCCTGTACTTGAAACCTCCTCTCTGCCTCCTCAAATGCCTCATCCTTAATCTGAAAGAGAAGAGATACTTCAATCTTGATCCCAGAGTGTTTATTTTCTACCTTGAGAGAAATGAGAGCCTAGGCTGGAGGAGATGTATTTCTAAACGCACAACTCACTGAAAAATACTGAAAGATTCTTTCCACTTGTTCGTTTGATGTGGGTGTCACTGAATAGGCCAGCATTTATTGCCCGTCCCTAGTTGCCCTTGAGAAGGTGGGGGTGAGCTGCCTTCTTGAACCGCTGCAGTCCATGTGCTATGGGTTGACCCACAATGCCATTAGGGAGGAAATTCCAGGATTTTGACCCAGCAATAGTGAAGGAATGATGATATATTTCCAAGTCAGAATGGTGAGTGGCTTGGAGGGGAACTTGAAGGTGGTGGTGTTCCTATGTACTTGCTGCCCTTGTCCTTCTAGATGGAAGTGGTCGTGGGTTCGGAAGGTGCTGTCTGAGAATCTTTGGTGAATTTCTGCAGTGCATTTCATTGATGGTACACACTGCTGCTACTGAGCTTTGATGGTGGAGGAAGTGTATGTTGCAAGTAGTGGATGTGGTACCAACCAAGTGGACTGCTTTGTCCTTGATGGCATTGAGCATCTTGAGTTTTGTTGGATCTGCACCCATCCAGGCAAGTGGGGAGTATTCCATCACATTCCTGACTTACTGAATGATGGAGCAGGCTCAAGTGAATTGGAATGAAAAACCTGCTTCTAAACTGAATTAAAACAAAGTGCTTATCCTAGATTTTTCTGAACTGACCACAAATTTAATGGACTTATGTATTTCCTCTACCTATCATAAAGGTCACAGTACATAAATTTCTTCCTATTAACACATCAGCTCTCTGACATATATGGATTAGGTTACCGTTCCAGGACACACTGATCTTATCATTTTAGAAGAAAACCCTTTACAAAAGAAACCAACACCCATATGCCACTAACTTGAAATTAAAATTCAAAAATTTATATAAACGCACCTTTCATCACACCATAGTCTGAGTGACAGTCCACATTTGAAACAGAGGAAGCCATTCAACCTCACAAACCCATCCTGCCATTTAATTAGGTCACCGTATTTTAACCTCATTTACTCACCTTGTTTGCACACCCCAGCCCAATAGCTTTTTATGGGACAAAGTTCCAGTTTTCCAAGACCCTCAGTATGAAGAATTGGCTACGACATTACCTGTTGATAGCCTGGCTTGGATTGGGAGCCTATAAACCCCAGTTTAGATCAGGTGCATTCAACATCTATTTTCAAAAAAATGTTTAAAACCCTGAAAAGAGCTGGGGAGGTTTCATGGTGAAAAGTGTTAATAATTCAACTTTGATGGTGAAAGCTCAGGTGCGTGGCCTGATTTCTTACCTGGGGAGCGAGACCGGTCAGGTGCTTGAGGTGGCTGCTAACCCGGTTGGATTTCTTTATGATGGAATGCATGCTCAGCTTCGAGATCTTGTCTATCAGCGAGTCCTCGTCCCCTTTACGATACTTCAGAACTGCAGAGAAAGACAGGAGTCAACAACCTGACTTGACACAACATCCTCCATCTGTCTGCATTCTCCAGGGCACTATCAAAACAGGAGCGGCAGGGGGTGGTGAGGAGTAGTTTTCCTCAACGCTTTGAGCCAATATTTATCTCCCAATCAACAACCCTTCGAACACAAAGCCGATGACCTGGCTGCAATCACAATTCTGTTTTGAGAGAGTTTGCTGTGTGCAAGTTGGTTGTCAGTTCAGAAGTTGTCTGAACTTTTGGGATTACAGTTCAGAAAGTTGTTAATTGAGTGTAGGCACTTGGGAACATCCAAGCGGTCCTGAAAGATGTTACAGAAAGTTCTTTCAAGGAATTCTTTTTACCAAAATATTCTAAAGGTCCTTCATAACAGCAGTTATCAATTAAAAATTTGACAGACGCTTTTTAAAAAATATACATGGGACACGGACATTCCTGGTTCAGCCAGCATTTATTGCTCATCCCTAACTGCCCTTGGTGGTGAGGCAGCGAGCCTTGAACTGCTGCGGTCCTTTTGAGTGTAAAGACCTCCTAAGGCAAAGGTGTGCGTTTTAAGCAGCATTTTGAACAGGCTCGGAGAGAGACAGACAGACCCAGGTGGAAGGTGTAAATTGGGAATTTCAGAGTTAGTCACCTTGGCAGCTGAAGGCACTGGAGCCAACAAATTGCGAATGCTCAGGAGGTGGGAATGGGAGGAGTGCGGAGATCTCAGAGGGTTTGTAGGACTGGTTAAACCAAGCTGCTGACACTCTGGTCCAGGTCAGGCTGTGACAAGGGCCCACTGGTAGGCAGCTGAAATGGAGTTTGAATTAACTTATCACTGGCATGTGAGAGTCACAGGCACTTAATGTTTGAGAACTTGTGATGAGGATTGTTCCGGATGCAGCGATAGTGTGGTATGGATAGAATGTATGGTCGGGTGACCAACTACTACTCATTTCAATACGCATGGACAAAGAGGGACATCAATTCGACTGGAACAACGTAGCCATCCTAGGACAAGCCAAGCAAAGACACGCACGAGAATTCCTGGAGGCCTGGCACTCAAACCGGAACTCCACGAACAAACATACTGAGCTGGACCCCATATACCAGCCACTAAGAAACAAATCCGGAAGTGACGCTACCCACCTCAGCAAACCACAACATGTAAATAGCAAGCAGGACAGAACATCGACGCAATGTTACCTAGCATGGTGACAAAACATTTGCCAACAAACTTACCAGCTCAGCGAGCAAGTCAACAACCACATCAACAACCCGAGCTACAAATCTTCTCAAAACCCTTGAAAAAGTTCCCTCCTTTATCTTTGAGTGGTCCTACCTTCTCCCTAGTTATCTTCTTGTTTTTAATGTATCTAAAGAATGCCTTGGGATTCTTTTGAGCCTAATTTGTCAAGGTCATTTCATGGCCCCTTCTTGCTCTCCTAATTCCCTGCTTGAGTACTTTTCCTGCTTTCTTTATATTCCTCATGGGCCCTGTCCAATTTTAGTTTCCTAAACCGTACATGTGCTCCTTTTCTCCTTTTAACTAAATTCACAACCTCCCTTATTATTCAATGGTCCCTTACCTTGCGATCTATATCGTTCCTCCTTACTGGAACATGCCGGTATTGGACTCTCCCCAGCAGGTCATTAGAACAGTTCCCACACGTGAAATGGGGACTTGTCTGATAACAGCTCCTTCTAATTAACACTCCCAAGCTCCTGCCTAATACTGACATAATGTGCCCTCCACCAATTTAGTACCTTCCTGCAAGGTCCTGCCTTATCCTTGTTTGTAGCTATCTTAAAACTTAAGGAGTTGTGATCACTGTGACCAAAATGCTCTCCCACTGAAAGGTCAGTCACCTGCCCAGGCTCATTAGCCAATACAAGGTCCAGTATGGTCCCTCCTCTAGTTGGACGATCCACATACTGTTTCAAGTTCATTCAAACTGATTGGCTTGCTTTTTGTTTTATTAAGCGAATGCAAACATCAAACAAGGAACAGAAGAAGAAGTGACAGTCTCACTACTTGCTCAGTTTAAAGTGTGGAGGTACTGTAGCCAAATTTATAGACAACACAAAAATAGGTGGAAAGGCAAGTGATGAGAGTGTTTCACAAATAGTTTAGAGAAACATTAATAGGTTAAATAAGTGGCCAAAAATATTGGCAAATAGAGTATAATGTTGGAAAATGTGAACTTGTTCATTATAAAAGGGAGAACAAAAGAACTATTTATCTGGAGAAAAACTGCAGAAAGCTGCAACATAAAGGGACTTTGCGGAGGGGGGTGGTGGTGGTTTCACAGGGAGGTAACAGCCTAGTGGTATTATTGTGGACTGTTAATCCAGAGACCCAGGTAATGTTCTGGGGACCCATGTTTGAACCGTGCCACAGCAGATGGTAGAATTTGAATTCAATAAACATCCAGAATTAAGAGTCTAATGACGACCAGATTGTCGAAAAACCCATCTGGTTCACTAAGAGATAGCAAGAACTGCTGATGCTGGAATCAGAGACAACACGCTGCAGGAACACACAGTGTGGAGCTGCAGGAACACAGCAGGCCAGGACAGTTGACGTTTCGGGTCGGGACCATTCTTCAGAAATGGGGAGTGGGAAGGGAGCTGGGAAATAAATAGAGAAGGTGAGGGGCTGGGGAAGGTAGGTGGGATGGTGATAGGTGAGTGCAGGTAGGGAATGATCAGTGAGAAAGAAGATGGACAGGTTGTGTCAGGTCAAGGAGGTGGAGATGAGTGGGAAGGTTGGACATGGGATGACAGCGGGGGGTGGTGGGGTGGGAAGATTTTAAAACTGGTGAATTCCACATTTATGCCACTGGGCTGTAGGCTCCTGAGGGGAATATGGAGACACCAACTGGAAGAACAACACCTTATATTCCACCTCAGAGTGGGGTGGGAAGAAAATGAGACAGAGAGACACAGAGAGAGAAAATGTGTAAAAAAAGGGACAGGCAAGTCTCACCCAGGTCTTTGCGCCGTTTGTACTCATTGATGTTAACGTTGAGATTCTTCACAGCCAGTACAGCCTCTCCCAGCGGCTTTTTGTCTCGGTGTGTCTCTGGGGTAGTGTTCAGTAGTTCCATCAGTAGCAACGGGTACCTCATAACGCGCTGTACCGGCTTAATGAGAAACGAACCCAGGTTGATGTAATTTGTTTTGCCCCTGGTTTGCAAGGGAAACAAAGAATTACCAATACATTTTGAAAAGAATCACTTGCTGCTGGAGTCTTGCCTCCAGGAAAGATGCCTGGGTCTTGGAGACAGTGTCAGGGCGATTTACCAGGACCAGGTTCAGGGAGAGGGACATCAAGTGAATGCGGAGAGACAGGAGAGGCTGAGATTGTTCTCCTTGGGGCACAGAAGATTGACGGGAAGATTTTAATCGAGATGTTCAAACTCAGAAGGCTGGTCTGATTGAGTAAATCAGATTAAACTGTCTCCAGTGACACGAGGATCACAGATTGAAGGCAGTTTCTAAAAGAACAGGAAGGGGGAAACAAGTGAAATATTGGTTTTTCTGTAATCTGGAGCACACTGTCTGAAAGAGTAGCTGAAGCTTATTTATTTGGTAATATCAAAAGGGATAAGTAGCTGAAAAATAAAAGAAAATTAATAAGAGGAAAGAGTTGGGAGGTGGGACTAATGGGAGAGCTCTTTCAAAGAACCAGCACACGTGGATCAAATGGCCTCCTGGATTTTTTGGTTCACCTTGATTCTGCAGAGTTTTCACTCTGGACTCTGCTGACTAGTTTAATTTAACAGGACTGTTCACTGAGTTAACTGCATCAGCCAGGACTCATAGCCTGTCACATGGACTATACATCTTAAGGGGAGGAGGAGAAGAAGATTGGAAAGGTAGTTAGCACCAAGACATCGGCAGAGAGCAGCAGCTACAATCAGCCCTAGGTCACTGGGCAGGGAAACGAGATACTGGGAAAACCCAGCCTGAATAAGACGGATGGTCAGCCACGATCCCATATTGAATGGTAGAATTCAGGTTGATGGGCCGAATGGCCTAACGCCGCTCCCATTAGTCCAACTCAATATGGGTTGGGGTTGACAGTGCAACACAGGAAACTTTATATGTAACCCTGTAGTGTACCCATCCTGGGAATGTTTAATGGGAGGGGACAGTGTAGAGGGAGCTTTACTCTAATACCATGTTCTCAGGAGGAACTTCCTTTCCCTTTTATGAGCCAGGGGTAAAAGAAATGTCACAGACAAAAGTGGCAATGAGTGTATGTTGTATTACTTAGCACAATGCAGTGTCACGTGGATTAAATCCAGCATTACTGGTTAGCAGTATTAGATCAATAGTAAAATCACACATAGGCTAAATACAGCAGCAGGTTAATGAGTTTAATACAATCAGTGTTCAAAAAGGGAATGGTGAAAGTGGAGAGGAGTGGGGGATAAAGGCTGCAGTGCATTCATCGAATAGATGTGAGCTGCCAGGCACAGGGAGGATCTGAAGGTGGTTTGTGGGTGATAATTGGTCACACGTTCGGCTGCAATCACACCATGCTGGCTGCACTTTGTTTAAGGGACAAAGCCGAGAGCGAGAGCTGACAGCACAGACTGTAACAACATCATACATCCTGCCCTCCCCTACCCCACCACTCCCACTGCCCAGAGCCCCTCTAAAACCACAACCTCTGATCCCTGCCCCGACCCCCTCTGCACCCTCTCCCTCTGTCCCCTGCCCCAATCACATCTGGACCCACTCCCTCTGTCCCCTGCTCTGACTCCTCCCCCCCCAACCTCTGACCTTCTCTGCATTTGGCCCTAACCCCACTCTATACCTGCAACACCCACTAAACTCCCCCACCCCAGCTCTCTCTGCAGTTCCTCACCATATCTTCTCACCAGGATTAGCATCTCAAATATTGGTGTTCCTGTAGTTTTGCACTTCATTCTTCTCTGTACTCTCTCCTGAAAGAGGCACTTTGTTATCTCACTGCAACAAGCACACTTGGGTTTTTGTACTATGGGGGTGCCACTATCCTGTTGTTTAACGTAGCCTCCTCCATATACTCCAACCTCATCCTCTCCCACTCCCTCGATCCCTTGCCTTAGTCCTACATCAACCAATTCCATCCCCCAACCAAGCAATTGCCCCTTCCTGCCCTTCCAACTGCTATCCTCGCTCTTTCCAACAACCCTTCCCAATCCCTCACACAAACCCACACATTCGAAAACAGGAAGAACAGGAATGCAGATGCTGTTGGCCATAGCTAGCACAAGCAGGGGGTTGTGAAGGGGAAGGTCGCAGGGTCAGACTTACCACTGACGATAAATTGCCCTGGCAGAGGAGCAGGATCAGGAGGAAGGGGAAAAAGAGTGAGTTACTGGGAGAAAATATCAGTAAGTTCCACACAGCAATCCCCACAAGCAGCAAAGAACCAGACACTGACAACACCCTCTCCATTACCCACAGTGTCTCATCAAGGCTCCTTAGATACCACCTTCCAAATCCACAATCACTACCATTGAGAAGGCAAATGGAGCAGATACATGGGAACACTTTCAGGTTCTCCTCTGAACCATTCACAATCCTGACTTGGAACTATATCGGCCAGTCCTTCACTGTCACTGGGTAAAAATCCTGAAATTCCCTCCTTAAGGGCACTGTGGGTGTCCCGAATAATCCAAGGGCTGCTGCGAGTCAAGGCAGCAGCTCACCACCACCTTCGCCAGGGCAATTAGGGATGGACAATAATGCTGGCCCAGTCAGCAATGTCCACATCCCGTGAATGTTTTATTTCAGAAAAAGAGACTCAAGGTGGGATATATGTTTTAAGCATCATGAAAGTTGGCTTTGAAGGCGAAATTCGCTGCAAGGACTGAGACAATCCCAATAAGTGCGACAGCTGTAGGATTGTCAGTGTCAGAGGAAGGAGAACTTTCTACTGATCTGACAATATCTAGGGAGTCGGAGGAGGCCTTTCAGCCCATCGAGCCTGATCTGCCATTCAATGAAATAATGGCGGATCCAGATCCTCACTCTGTGAATACCCTCAAAAAAGTAACAAAAAAAAAATCCGTGGGTCTCATATTTAAAATGGTGGACTGACTGCCAAACGTCTGTTGCTTTGTACAGTGCAGAGTGTTACACTTCTACCACCCTTAGTGCGAACAAGTGTTTCCTCAGTTCACTCCTTACCAGTGTGAACTTTTTTTTTAAAAAAGGTTATCCTCCATTGTCCAAGGTTCTCCTACCAGACAAAAACATTTCTCTCTACCAATCCCGACAAGTACTTTTACAATCCTAAAATCTAAATTAAGTCACTCCTTAACCTCCTATATGCCAGAGCATGTAGATGTAAGTTTGACATTTGAACCAATGGAGCCCTGTAGGGCTGCCCCACTCAGCGCAGGGCTGACGGAACGCTCACTGGAGTGCAACACTGTTGGGAGGTGCCATCTTTTAAGATAAAATGCCAGAGCAAGGCCCTGTCTCTCCTCTCTCAGGAGGATGTACAAGATCCACGATCATTAGTAGGAAGAGACGCAGGCAGCTATTCCTGACCAAAATTTACCCCTTGACCGACAGGATTTAGAAAATTGCACGGATTACTCGGTCATTGTTCCAGTGGTCTTCCTGGGATCTTGCTGTGCACAGGCCAGCTGTTGCGCTCTCCCGCCTCAGAAAAAGAGAGAGGCCACTCCATTAGCTGTACAACATTTGGGGATGTCGGGGATTGTGAAAGCGCCCTGGACTGGTGTCAACTCACGGTTGAACACTCCTGCTTGAGGCGACACACAACATGGCCAGGTGTCGCACTGAGCGGAGTTTAAGAGGGGCACGCAGTCCGCACTGACAGAGAGGTTTGAACATTTGCTCAGGTCACAACCACTTCCTCACCTTCGTCTCTCTCACCTCAGAGTCAGAGGGCCGTAGTCCAAAGGATTTTGGGTATAAAACCCAGGCTAAGACTGTCAATGCACAGGTCCCTGACACATGAAAACAAGGCTCTCTCAGGTGGGTCTCAGGGCATTATTTTGAAGTAGCAGCTATTTGGGCACTCTATCCAGGGACAATATTTATTCCTGAACCAACATCACTTGGGGGGGAAAAAGACTGAAAACACAATATCCATTCATTAGTCACATTTCAATTCGGGGGTGCTGGCTATTTGGCTGCAGCATTTCCTATACCACAGCAGTGACTACATGTTAAAAGTACTTTGTCAGCCATGAGGTGCTTCTGGATGTCCTGAGGTGGTGAAAGGTGTGACGTCTTTCCTCTATTTACCCACATATCGGTAACTGCAGTTTTAAAAGGGATTTGAGGACTGTAAGGCAGCTGGAACATGTGAAGACATGTCAAGAGCTCTGTTGAAACATGTCAACTTTCTTTCCAGTTCCCTGTGAGCCATCGTTGGCTCTCGTCTTACCGTAGGTGATCCAGGCACGCGTTCATATGCCCCTGAATCTCTTTGTCCTTCTCATATATCTCCAGGAGAGCGATGGCCTCCTCGTGGTTTTGACAGTAAACGTTGTACATATCCTCAAGCTCATTCCTGAAGGACAGGAACACATGACCTACACAAGGTGAGAAAGTGCAAAAGCAATTCTTCACTCGATTGATTAGACACACTGTCCTTTTCCCTAAAATTCATTAGTCAATTATAAATGACTGGTAAATTGAATCATTCAGACACCAAGGCCCTCAGCAGGGAGCACTTCAAAACGCAGTGGATGAGGCTTGTAAAGATGGTGAGGCAAATCAGATATTGCTGAAGTGACAGACACGTCGAGAATGTTATTCATCCACCACAAAATGCAGGAATCATAGAATCCCTACAATTCAGAAGCAGGCCTTTCAGCCCATCGAGTCCACACCAACCCTCCAAGGGCATTCCACTCAGAGCCACCCTCCACCTATCCCCATAGGCCTTCATTTCCATGGGCAAACCATCTAGCCTGCACATCTTTGGACCATGGGAGGAAACCCAAGCAGACAAAGGGAGAACATGCAAACTCCATGCAGACAGTCGCCCAAGGCTGGAATTGAACCCGGATCCCTGGAGCGGTGAGGCAGCAGTGCTGACCACTGAGCCACCGTGCCACCCAGAGGAGGTTAAATGATTGCCCACTCTATTAGGAGTTCTTTGAGTAAGTAATATATTCTGTGGGTAAAGGAGACCTGGAGGATATGCTGTATTTATCCAATGCCTTCTGCATATCTAAAGTGTGACATCAAAGGTTATCACCAGAAAATAAAAGCTGATGATGCGGGGGTGGGGGTGGCAGACGGACATGGAGAGAAGATTGACTGGCATACAGTAAGCAGAGGGTGGGCAAGACGTAATGGGTGGTGTGCTACAGGGATCAATGCTGGGACCTCAACTGTTCACGTTTTGTATAAATGACATTTAAGACTGAGATAGATAGGTTCTGGATTATCTAGGGTTACAGGGAGAAAGCGGGACAATGGGGTTGAGGAACTTATCAGCCATGATTGAATGACAGAGCAGACGCGATGGGCTGAATGGCCTAATCTCTGCTTCTGTATCTTATGGTCTGAGGCAGAGGAATCGTTGATAAATATGCTGATGATATCAAGATAGGGAGGAAAGTAAGATGTGAAGAGGACAATAAAGGAGGCTGCAAAGGGATACAGACAGATTAAGGTTGTGGGGAAAAAAATCTGGCAAATGGAATATAATGCGGAAAAATCTGAAATAATCCTTTTTGGCAAGAAGAATAAGAAAAGCGTATTCTCCAAATGATGAGAGATTGCAGAGCTCCGAGATACAGTTCAGAGAACATTTACCTGACTAATACCTGGAATGGGCAGGTTGTCTTTTGAGGGAATGTTGGACAGGCTTGTCTTGCATCTGGAGTTTAGAAAAGAAAGAGGCAACTTGATTGAAATTTATATGATCCTGAGGGGGTCTGTGACAGGGTGGATTTGGAGAGGATGTTTCATCTTCTGGGAGAATCTAAAACTGGGGTCACCATTAAAAATAAGGCCTCACCTATTTAAATCAGATGAAGCAAATTTCTCAAGAACTGAGAGTCTTTGAAACTTTCTCCCTGAAAAGGTGGTGGAAGCAGAGTGCTTGAATATACTTAAGGCAGAGGAAGACAAATTCTTGCTACGTAAGAGGGCGAAATGTTATTAAGAGTAGGCAAGGAAGATTACAATGAGAGCAGCCATTATCTTGTGGATACTAGCAGGTTCGACAGGCTGAATGGCCTACTTCTGCTCCTTTGGGAAGGTGGTAAGGGGGAGAGAGGGGCAGGGGGATTATTCGACCTTCTGCAGAAGGGTCTGTGGACCCAAACCATTCACTGTTTCTGACCCCACAGATGCAGCCAGACCTGCTGAGTTTTTCCAGCCATTTCTATTTCCATTTCAGATTTCCAGCATCCACAGCTCTTTGTTTCCTTACTTTGTAAACGTACCTATACTGTCTGTACCCTCCAGCTCCATCAGCAGCCGCTTAGAAACCTCTATAACCGTCTGAATGTTTCCGAAGAGAGCCTCACAGTCCACCTGCTGTAACTGAGAGGAGAGGGAAATATCATTAATTCCACTTCACCCTTCCACACACTTTACTGCCCCCCCTCATTGTGCCCGCACTTGGTACTGTACACTCCAGAGCGCAGAGGCCCCTCAACATCTCATCCTGGTTCAATGGCTAATGTTTTCACATTAAGACAGTAAACGTGCTCCAGTTACAAACAGTGAGAAATTAATCCTTGTCGATTCTCTCAGTACAGTATAGGCCGAGTGTCCGAGGGAGGGCCACCCTGCTGGAGGGCCAGTGCCCAGGGAGTGCTGTCTGAGCAGTGAGCACTCGTTTCCTTTAGGTGGTAGAGGTCATGGGTTTTGAGGTTGCTGTCCAAGGAGCCTTGGTGCATCAGAAGTGAATGCTGAATTGGTGGATGTGGGGCCAATCAAATTTATCCTGGATGGTGTTGAGTTTCTTGAGTGCTGTTGGAGCTGCACTCATCCAGGGCACTGTTCCCATCGAATGAGGAAGTGTTGATCAAGTTTATTAATAAAGTGAGAGTGAGCGGACCAATTTCATTGGCCCGGTCACTTGCATTGGGACCACCCTGCCTCTCACCTGTTTGTTTTGGAGGGGGATGAGCACCTTGTCCACACACATCTCCAGGTCCTTAATGTAATCAGCCTCTGTCTGCAGCAACTCCTCGATGACCTTTGCCCTCTTATCCATCATCTTCTGACTGGGGTTCTCTGGTAGGGCTGGCTCCAGAGCGCGGTGGTCATTGGATAAAAGCGTCATGTCTGGGAGGGATCACAAGCAAAAAGAAGACCAGAGGTTAATAAACATCCCTGGCATGAATCTCATTTGTGGAATGTTCTCTAATGAGAGCTTTACACTTCCATTATGAAATTCTCATCTCCTTTTTCAACTGTATGACCTCATCCCGTCTTAATACATAGAACATTGAAGAGTACGGCACAGGAACAGGCCCTTCAGCCCACCATGTCTGTGTTGACCATGATACCATTCTAAACCAATCCCATCTGCCTGTACACGGTCCGTATCCCTCTATTCCTCGCCTGCTCATGTCTCTGTCAGGATGCCTCTTAAACGTTGCTCCTGTATCTGCTTCTACCACCTACCCCCGGCAGCATGTCTGGGTACCTACCACCCTCTGTGCAAGAGGCTTGCTTCACACATCTCCTTTAAACCTATGCCCCTTAAGATTTGACATTTCCACCCTTGGGACAAAGAAATCCCAGCTATCCACCTTATCCGTGCGTCTCATAATTTTATAAACTTCTATCAGGTTGCCCTCAGCCTCCAATGATCCAGTGAAAACAATCCAAGTTTGTCCTTATAGCTAATACACTCCAATCCAGGCAACATCCTGGTAAACCTCTGCTGTACCCTCTCCAAAGCCTCCACATCCTTCCCATGGCATGGTGACCAGAACCACAAACAATGCTCCAAAATGTGACCTTACCAAAGTTTTATACAGCTGCAACATTACTTGCCAACTTTTACGCTCAGTGTCCTGACCGATGAAGGCAAGCATGCCGTATGCCTTCTTTACCACCTTATCCATTTGTGTTACCACTATGGACTGGCACCCCAAGATCACGGTGTAATAATGCTCCTAAGAGTCCTGCCTTGTACTGTATACTTTCTTCTTGTATTCCTCGCCCAAAGTGCTTCACCTCACACTCATCCAGAATAAACTCCAACTGCCACTTCTCCACCCAACTTTCCTGCTGATCTATTTCCTGCTGCATCCTTTGACAATCTTCCTGACTATCCACGTCTCCAACAATCTTCATGTCATCTGCAAATTTACTAATCAAACCGCTGACATTTTACAAAAGTGGAACACCACTGGTCACAGACTTATGAAAAAGAAAAGATTCATACTGATACAGGATCTTCATGGTCACATGGAAGGGTCACTACCACAGAGTCACAAGACCCCTCACCACCAATGAAGTAGGCTTACAATGTAGCACAGTACCATTGCCTCCCTAATGTGTCAAAGGGACAAGGGTTCGAATCCCACCATAGCAGATAAAACTTGAACTTAATAAAAATATCTAGACTTAAAAGCTGGTCCTTGTCTTATGCAATGATGTAGCCACTGTCAGTTGTTGTTAAAAACCTTCCTGGTTCACGAATTGTGGCAAGAGAGTGAGAGCGGGAGAAAAAGTAAAAAAGAATGTTCTACTTGACCAGAGGGCTATTCTCTCAATAGGGAGAGATAACCGGTGTTTTAACTTGAGGGAGTGGTTGAGTAGGAGAGTTCTTCGTGGTAACCTCAGCTGATGTAGAAATTGTATCCACGCTGTTGGCAAAATTGCATTGCAAACTAGCCATCCAGCCAACAGAGCTAACTGACCCCAAAGACAGAAAGAGAATGAAATAGACAACGTGAGACACACACTGGTTACTGGCAGAGACGCACTCTTCCTGAGATAGCAGGAGAATCTGAGATAACAAGGTGTAGAGCTGGATAAACACAGCAGGCTAAGCAGCATCAGAGGAGCAGGACGGCTGACGTTTTGGGCCTAGACCTTTCTTCAGAAAGGGTCTAGGCCCGAAACGTCAGCCTCCTGCTCCTCTGATGCTGCTTGGCTTGCTGTGTTCATCCAGCTCTACACCTCGTTATCTCGCAATCTTCCTGAGTCTGCTCAGTGTACTTGTTGAGCTAATAGAGGGTCAGTGCTCCCTCTTCAAATCCCACTGACCTGTATGGAACAGACTCAGCCCAGATAGGGAGACCATTAAACTCTAACAGGTTCTCTGTGTTTTTGCATGGCCTCCAGCTACTCTTCCCTCCTGCTACAAGAGAATCTCACAACGATTGCTGCAATTAAGAGACATATACGGACCAATGACAACAGCTCTAAACAGTTGGTTTTAAGACAGTAATCCCTTCACAGATTAAGTCTCATGAACCATATGTCAGTGTTTAATCCTGTTACCATTTGCAAGTAGACCATGTCCCTTGACCCTGCATTCTATGTTCAGTTCCGGTAATCTCCTCACCACCCCACACACAGCTCCCTGGGATTGTAACCTGATCAGAGCTGACACCCATTGACTATCACATTCACCCCGAGTCAAGTGGGAGGCCATTCGGCCCCTCCAGCCTGCTCAGTACTCAACCAAGATCATGGCTGATCATTCACCTCCACACTGTTTTCCCTGCTTGATCCCTGTAGCCACTAATTCCCAAACAATGCCATGAGTTCAACTCTCATTCTTCCCGACACCAGCAAAGATAGGAGACAATAAGGACTGCAGATGCTGGAAGCCCGAAATGTTAACTTTCCTACTCTTCGGATGCTGTCTGACCTGCTGTGCTTTTCCAGCAAAGATAGGCCCCTTTTCTGATCAATCTTTCCTCAACCTCAGAATCTGGCCAGAAAAATTTGGTTTCACTTGTCCAATGACAAGAAGATCTCTTCTTAAGGAAGGAAAGTGAAACTGTACACAGTGTGATCTCACTAGAGTCCAGTGCTATGGTATCAAGACTCCCTTAAACTCTAATCAGCTGCCAACAAACTGCAACATACCATTCACTTTCCCAACTGATTGCTGTATCTGTGTTACTTTTCTGTGATTTGAAAACAAGGGCACCTACATTCCTCTAAATACTAATACTTTCTTGTTGCTCATCGCTTAAAAATATTCTGCATATCCATTCTTTCCAAGTGAATCACTTCTTACTTCTCATATTCGACACCATCAAGTTTCCTGCCCACTCACTTCAGTCCTCCACATTCCTTTGCGGCCTTTCTTGCTGGCTTGGCATCATCAGTAAAAGTGGATTTGTTACTTTCTGCTACCTCAGGTAAAGATGCAGGTTCACTTCAACCTCCAAAGGCTCGAGCAGAAATCCCAGGGTGACATGGGTCAGTGGAGCTCTACCAAAAATTTAAATCAGTCCACAGCTTCCCACCCTCCCTTGCTCTGTAAACGCCTATAATTGTCAGATCTCTGCACTCTTCCAATACTGGCCTTATGAATGCCCTTGGCTTCCACTGGTCAAGTATTGGCAGTCACGTTTTCAGCTGCCTGGGCCCTAAGGTCCAGAAATCTCTCAGCCACCCCTTCACCCCTACCATCCCATCAGCCACCTCTCTCAATCGTGAACAAAGTGATGGAAGGTGCTACCGATAGTGACAGTGGTACTTACGAAGACTTAAGTTGAGCCACAATCCTGGTTCAGTGGTGGCACCTTTCACCTCTGAGTCAGGAGGTCATGGAGTTCATGGAGTTCAAATGTCACTCCAGACACAGCACATCACCTGACCTGACCTTCCCCGTGATGGAAGTGGGAGGAAAACACCATCCCCAAAGGATGATCAAACAAGGAAGGTAACAGCTCAATCTTCGCAGATTAATGACCCAGTCAGCTGATGCCTTGGGATCAGGCTGAACGTTCAGGTCTTCTAGCTGCTGAATGTATTAAATGAGATCAACTGGGTCACTGTGTGGCTCCCTATCTCACAGCTTGATCATACAATCAGAGAAATCAGAAAATTGAAGAAAAAAGAGTGAACAAAAGATTCATCAAAGCAGATGAAGGAAGTTTGGAACACTCTCCTACAAACAGCAGATGACAGCACCATGATTCGTTTCTGAAAGCAGAAGTTTTTTTGCCAGTGACGAGTGGCAATGGATAGGGAGCCCAGGTGATAGAGTTAAGAGACAGATCAGCCATGATCTATGAAACAGTGGGCCTGTCTGCCTTTTCAGTGGGACGTATAAAAGGACCCCTGGATCTAGTTTGAATATAGAAAGGGAATTCTTGGCCTGTCAACGTTTATACCTTAGTCAATGTCATGAAAACAGACTATTTGGTCAAACGTTACATTGTTGTTTCTGGGAGCTCGCTGTGAGCAAATTAACTGTGTTTCCCACATTACCACACAGTGACTACACTTCAAAAAAAAAGTTAGCTGTAAAACACCAAGACATTGAGTAGTCGTGAAAAGTACTGTCTCAATGCCAGGTTTGCTTCAAACGGCAGAACAGGTTCCAGGGCCTGAATGGATCATCCATTTTGTACATCTGACCAAGGTGCACAGCAGAACAATTCAAAAATTACTAAATCACTCTCCTCCTAGATATTACAACAGCTTGTCCACATGCTGCAAGCCCTGGATAACATCCAGGTTTGGGCTGGTAAACCACAAGGTACATTTGCATCACACAAGTGAAACGCTCAATCAAGAGAGAGAATCTAACCATGACACTGTATAACTATCACCAAATCCCTCACGATCAACATCCTAGGGGCTAACAGTTGTATAAATAAGAACTGAGGAAGGGTCACTGGACCCGAAACGTTAACTCTCTTTATTCCTTCTGAGCTTTTCCAGCAACTTTGTTTTTGTTCCTCACTCACAAAGCCTGTCTCCCATCTACAAGGCAGGAGTGTGATGGCACAGTTCCCACTTGCCTGGATGAGTGTAGCTCCGACAACACACAAGCACTCCCCACAATCCAGGACAAAGCAGCACCCCTTACTCCCTGTGACTCACACCGCACCCACTTTCTTCAGCATTCACTCCCTCCACCATTGACGTTCAGTATCAGATGTGTATATCCACAAGATGGACCCCAACTCCTCACCAGAGCTCCTGTGGCAGGCCATTCCAAACCCACGACCACGACCATCCAGAAGGACAAGGGCAGTGGCTACATGGGAACATTACCAACTGCAAGCTCCTTTCCAAGCCACTCACCATCTGGATTTGGAAATATATGGACGCTCCTTCAGACTTGCTGGATCAAAATC